ACAGCCCTAAGTATCGCAACAATATCACGAGGATCACCTACAGACTGGGATCGGCAGCATCGGCCAGAGCTGCACCACTTCCATTGATACCAACGGAAATACCGCAAATAAGGTTGCAGACGCCGACTGTGATTCCTCCCCAGAAGACCGCGTATCCAGTGTAGTAGTTGCTGGAGGTGTGGATTTGCCCTTCGGCTACCTGGCTGAGCTTTGAAGAAAAGACAATGGCCATGATGACACCGTAGATAGCGACGACTTCACAGAAAATAATGGAGATCAAGTTCTTGGTGCGAATACGGGGTGCTCGGACACCACCGCCAACAATCGATGAGCCGGTAAGGAAGATACCCCTAAGAAAGTATGCGGTCAATATCGCGATGCCGGATAATGTCAACGGGGATCGGCTTACCATGCTGCGCCGATAACTGAGAAGCCGATACACGAAGCGATTCCGATATTTGCCCAAGCATAAGGAGAAACCTCCTCAAGGAAACGGCCGACCTGATACGTGTCAGGTTAGTAAACTTTTGAGCAAATCGCTTGTTTTAGTGGAGTTCCTTACATTGAACGCTTCTCCCTCTCCGTGAAAGAGCATATCTAGATTCCAGACCTCTCATTAGCTGCCAGATCGCATGTCGGATCCATTGAAACGTACACAATCCCACCACGATGAGAGCGGTGGTGGAGACACCGGCCGGATAGAGGTAAGCCATGGCGACCTCTATAAGCCTGATGACGAATAAATTAAAAGGTCAGGATGATCGCAGACGTAGAAAACGCAGCCGATAAGGTAGCTGAAGCTCTAGGATGGAAGCGGGTGATGGGGGACTCGGTGACCGGAGCGGATTAACTGCTCCGTTTGGGCGGTGACCTCGCGTGGTGCTTCCCCGGACGTATTGGACCACCTGTTTCCCCCTGCTTTATTACTGTTCTTTCAAGGGAAGACGCTGGTCTTAACCTTCTATATTCTCATTAACCTTGTTCTGGTGTCTCTCGCCCAGCCGTGAATCCCTGACCTCCTTCCGCGCCGCTTTATTACCCCTGACTTTCACCCGCGTCAACATCTCCGTGACAATGGCGTCTGCCTCCGGAGTTGGGTCGTATTCGAACCCCTTGAAGAAGTTCAAGTAAGACTTAAATTGTGGAATTATGATTGCATTGCTAATGGAGATACGTAGGCTGGTATTCCTCGGCGAACAAAGTGGTAAGCGTCTCATCACTTCATACATCTACTACATGCGCTCTAGTCAATAAGAGGGGCTAGCACAAGATACCTAACGTTACTACAGTCGGCAAAACATCATTGATTACTCGGTTCATGTATGACTCGTTTGATAACACATACCAAGCAACTATTGGCATCGACTTCTTGTCCAAGGTACGCCGCATTATACCCCGCACAAGGGTTCCAACTCATTGGGCATTGCCCTGAGAAGCTATCTAGGTGCAAGATTTGGGGCTAATTATTGTATCTAGACTATGTACCTTGAAGATCGTACTGTCCGTCTTCAGCTTTGGGATACCGCCGGCCAGGAGCGCTTCCGTTCCCTGATTCCTTCCTACATCCGAGACTCGAGCGTTGCCGTGGTTGTCTACGATATTTCGAATGCTAAATCGTTCCAAAACACGCGAAAATGGATTGACGATGTGCGCGGAGAACGTGGGAACGATGTGATTATTGTGCTCGTGGGCAACAAGACCGATTTGAACGATAAGCGCGAAGTTACCACCGCACAGGGCGAGGAAGAGGCAAAGAAGAACGGATTGATGTTTATCGAGACTAGCGCAAAGGTTGGGCATAATGTGAAGCAGCTTTTCCGGAGAATCGCTCAGGCTCTTCCTGGAATGGAAGGCGAGGCCAAGCAAGGCGAAAGCACAAGTATGTTCATTCTCGTGATTCACCCACTGACTCCTTATACTGACCATGAAATCTCTCTTAGTGATTGACGTCAATATCAATCCCAAGGAGACGACTAGCAACGATGGCTGTGCCTGTTAAGATTCCCCCGTCCCCAAGTGCCCTATCTCGATTTTAATGATCGAGGCTGTCCATGATATCCTACAATCTTCGAAGATGTACATGTTTCTTTTTTCTTTCCTTGCTCCTCGAGTCGATAGCGCGTGTCTAGATATTTCAGTGCCGAATGCGGTCGTGTCCAGTTTATTTTCTGAGCTCTTGGGAGGAGACAAGGTGTTTTCATTTCCGTTTAACCAGCATCATACGTTTTTTTTGTGGCAGTTGAAGTTAATTTGCTTGGCTTCCTTTGGGGGTCTTCTGATTGCCACTCTTGGCAGCATGGGCTAACATATCTTATATGCCTGATATGCTTTGATTGATGAAGCTGTATAATATGGCACTTCCCTTCTGGGTAACGCACCGCATAGCCGGCGCCAATGAAACATGAAATCGATACTATTATAAACATGAGCTAAAAAACTTACAACAATACAAATTTGCTGTTGTGGTATTTCTACCAAAAAGTAGTCATAATTTACTTGATCGGTCACAAGTATCAATAGGCTCCTAATATGTTCACGGCATTTTTTTTTATACATCTCATGGCTTGGTAGGCATGCCTTAGAAGACGAACCCCTTAACAGCTGTCTCATGCTCCAAATTCCACGTTCTCTTAATTAAGGAGTCGACTTTGCTCGTATCTGTAATTCCACCATATTTGGCAAGCGCGTGAGTTTTTGCCTCGATTTCAGACCTGGCGATGCTGTCAGAACACAGAACATGGTTTTATCATCTCCTAGAGATAAAGCATACCTTGTCAAGGGAAGCTCCGGATCTCCCTTTGCAAATGTGACTGATTCCGTGAAGGTCTTCCCGGACTTGCACGTAACAATAACAGTCCCTTGCCACCTTTCTGGGAACTGAGAATCAATCTCCGCATTGTATTCCATTCTCACTCGATTCTGGAATCCACGCAGAGAGGCATCCTCCAGAGCAGCTTCAGTAAAGTCGGTTATCATAGCTTGGCCTTTCTTCGCCGCAATGGCTAGTACAAAGCCCATTGAGAACTTGCTCTGATGAACTGTATCACCATTCCCACTTAGGCTAAGTACGTTAATAGCAGCCTGGTATGTGGGAACAAGGACGGAGTCAATATCGTCAAAAGTAACCTTGTTCTTAGCCATCAGGTTCAACAGTGCATCCACGCTAGGATGTGTGTGTCGACAAGATGCGTGCCATTTGAAGCTCGAACGAACAACGGCAAAATCCGTACCCAGATTCTGGTCAATTACCTCTGGGTTTGTTTCGCCGGGCACTAGAGCAGCTCCCATTGCACGCGGTCCTTCCAAAATATCCCGTGGACCTAAAAGGCCATCACGAGCAGAATAGGCAGCGAATATGCCGTCGAAACAGGCCTTTGCTGTGTGCACTTGTTTTGAGTGGGTTGCATCCATCAAGAATTGCCATAACCCTGCGGCTTGAGTTCCAGCTGTTCCGACTGCTGATGATATTTGGTTAGCATCAAGGTTCAGAAGGTGGGCTACAGCTGCTGCGACTCCAATGACCCCGCCTGTCGCGGTGGTATGGAATTTCTATAGTATAAGTTAATTATTGAAAATTAGCTGGCTAGGCCTAGCCTTCCTGGCATGGTGATGCTCATGGAAACCTAATGGAGCTTACCTCGTAATGGCTCTTCCCCAGATACTCTCCAACACGGCAACCCACTTCGTAGCCAACCACACAAGCAGTGATAAAATCTTCTCCACTTGCGCCAATATCTTGGGATACTGCAAGAGCAGCTGGGAAAATTACAGTTGCCTATAATCAAGTAAGCATTGTGTTGGTCGACATATGGTGCATTGATAGTGGGCTTCGAGGAGCAACGAGCACAATCAGAACACACGCAAGACTCACTGGATGCATGATGCTTCGATTGTGCAAATCATCCTGCTCGACCACATGAGATGCAGCAGCATTGATCAGACTAGCAAATGCCGGGCTAGTGGTGAGGATTTGGGAGCCATCAATTAGTTCGCTCTTCCCACTAGATGGGCCCATTTGAGTCGCAAAGCGCACCATTGCAGAAACAGCGGGGTGGCTACGACCGGCTATGGCACAGCCCAGCGTATCTAGGAAGAGCTCCTTGGTACGTTGGACTACCTCATCAGGAATGTCGTTGTACTTTAGGTTGGCGGCCCATTTGACCAATCGATCAGTTCTGGTTTCTTGGGTCGATGGGATAGTCATTGTGCAGATTCTCAAAGAGAGATATTATATGATGGAGAGAATAGAATGACTTGATTCCACGCACCTCTAAATATATGCGGGGAAAATACGGGTAGGGCAAGTCGGTCATTTACTTCCCCTCTCTCATGGGTGAGCTAACTATTTCCCGAGGTATACAGATGGCTCATGAAACCGATTGGAGAGTACACAAAGGAGATTAGTATATAGCATGGATTTTCAGTCCGAATTTAGCCTTTTAGCAAGTAATTATTCCATTTATTCCATATGTTACAAGCAGTTTAAATAGCAGGACTGACATAGGACATGTAGACAGCATAGTTGGTTGTAGCCGATTTCTGCCTAATTCATAATATTGATGCCTTGGTAATATGGCTCCAAGGAATCAATAAAAGAGTTCAGGCATCCATATTTCATAAATTCATAAAATCGGTAGTAAAGCAAGGGGGGCACGCCACCTGGGCTTGAATATTCGGTTTTCTGCTGGGTTAGAGGCCACATGGTTGGTTTTTGATCAGACCAGGTATAGTCTATAAATCTAAGTCAAATCTAAGTAAAATCTGAGCTCATTAAACTGGAATAAGTGAAGAAGTAAAAAACAATGCATCCGAGAAAGAATCAGGAAATTGATCTGCGGGCGGATCGCCCGGGAAATAGCGCCCCTGGGTCATCTGCAGTGCCATACACCCAGCCTTTTTCCTCTTCCCTTGCTTTGCCCGTATATATACCCAACCACATTTCCATCGCTATTTTCATCTCGGTAACGCACATTCTTGGCCAGAGGCCATAAAACACACTCATGGGGCTCGCTTCCCGTTTTCTCCGCATTCCGCGGCCAGAGGTGAGTTGAAATCAAATCTTATCCATTGCCGGAGCTAACTTAATCTGACTTTCAAGTCCTTTCTCCATGTGATGAGCTTAGAGACCGGTGCTTCATTGATCACCTTGTCGCTACTTTTGAATAAAATCAGTGGCTTTTATGGCCTGCTGGCCCTCTTGACCGGCTACCACCTGTCCCCCGTACAACTGTCAATGTACCTTTGGTCCCTCGTCGCCCTTGCACTCGCCGCACTCCTGTTCCCACACATTCGCAAACAGTCGCCTCTACAATGTCTCGCTCTCACCTACCTCTATGTTTTCGATAGCCTGATTAACGCCGCATACACTGCCGCCTTCGGTGTGACTTGGTTCTTGGTAGTATCGCAACATTACGACAGTGGCAAAGCCACGGGTCCAGGGGGCGACACGATCGCCCAGACTGCTGGCTTCACCAGCCCCAAGTACGATGCCGCCTACGTCGAAATCCAGAACACAAAAGATGGAAACAACTTCGTCGCCCATCCCCCGCGTGCCGCCGAAGATCTCAGCAATGTCGTCCTCCAGCCCGAGAGTATTCCGAGCATCATCTTCATCGCCCTTTTGTGGGCCATCCGCGTCTACTTTGTTCTAGTGATGCTCGCTTTCGCACGCCAGGCCCTCCGTCTCTGGGTGGCAGTTCCCCGGCACACCCAACTCCCGACCCACAGCCGCAACGTTTCAGTCGCCAGCGTCGCCGATATTGATCGAGAGCCTTTCTCCCCCTATAGCCCCGAAGGTCAGGGCTGGCAGGGCAAACTCGGTCGCATAATGGTCAGCATCGGCCACAGCTATTGGCTTGGCGAAGAGGAGGACGGCAACTGGCTCAGTGGCATCAACCACAAGTTCCGCCGTTCGAACAACACGGAGCTGCCTGGTGCGCTGGAAAGAGAGAGGAGACGACGTTCTGGAACAGGACCTCCACAACCGTCGCCATCTATTGTTCGATCTACCGTCCTTCAGCAGCCAATTCCTGAGAATTCACCTGGTGGCATGAATGTCAAGATGCAGGATTGGAACGCACCTCGATAAACGGTTACTGCGTTAGCTGCTATCGAACAATAATAGTCGCTCTAACTTACAGCCCTCGCTTGAACTTGGCTCGATTTCTTCAACCCCTATCTTTCTGGCTGCACCGGATGCAACAAATTTTATTGTGCCTAGCCAGTGGACATAATCCATATTGGCTCTTGTGTCTGTCCTATCGTTTTATGAGGCCACTGAATCGGAAACCCGATTGGCTTCACTCGATACTCCATCACGAAGCCCGAGCCCCTTTTGCTCGATACTTACGATAAACTGCATATATGAATTCGGAATGGATCCAGGTATATGCCGATCAAACCACACTGTCATTGATATTCGGGTCCCCCCGTCTGGGTCAGGAAGGCGTTTTAAATCCCATGGAGATTGGGGCGCTTTATCTCAAAAGGTCTTGATCGTCCATCTAACATCTATGATTCTGGCGTCGGGGTATGGAAATGTATATTGCTTATCTGATATGGGGGTTCTGCGGTTTCAGGTCTTGTTATTGTACACAGTTGCTTTTGGATAGAACTCACATATATTACCAACATAATTTCTCGATTTAACAAAATGTCAGTAATATGAATCCTTCCAATAGTAAATGAGCTTAGTAGATCATGTTTTTTTTATAGGATTCTAGATGGGTGACTCGGCCGAATCATTAAAAGAAGGTTAATTGGCTAGATGGTATACTAGAGCGAGATCGGTGAAGACCTTCACATTCGGCATTTGACCGGTAGCCTTGTTCTGGTAGAGATTTCCTTTAGGTTGGACAGCCGAGCCCTAGAATAGGAAGGAACGGGAATCCTCCGAATAAAATACATTTTTTGGATGGGTAATTGCCTTAGTGCTATTGGTACGCTAAAGGCATGGAAGAAAATACCTAAATCAATGTTCTATGAGTTAATCACAAGGTAGCCCGGGATTATAGGAACTCCACAACATCCCATCAAGCAAATCCCTTGAGAACCCCGAGATTCAAGTATCTTTTATAGATATCATTCTGTTAAATGGGAGATCCACGGGCAAACCCCGACGCTGACGTGCTCGGCGGGCATCACGGGATCCCCCGCACTGAGCCTAAAACGGCAAGTTTGCATCTCCGCTGTCGGGTGTTTGCACTGATGTCGTGATCGAAGACCAATCAGCAGATTGCTGATCTAACCCCCCGACGACGGAGATTTGAGCATTAGGAAAGAAAAACCACTGGCTCTAATTTTTTTTCTTGTTTAGAGAATTCCAAGAGAGCTGAGAGACATCATATTCCATTGTCTCCTCTCCCTTGTTACAATTTCTCAGATCTGTGCTGCGAGTGGGAGATCGCCGCATACATACTGATAAGATATATCGCGATTTCATCATCCCACCTGTGTTGTGAACTCAACAACTAATAATCGCAAAAATGGTGTCTATTTCAAGTGCTGCTGAAGCGGGTAAGCCATTTTATATTATCTTCCCTCCTTGCAAACGGAAGCCAATGGCTAATTACCATGCGACTGTATAGTGGCGAGAATTGCCTACCTCACCAGTGATACCGTTGTCTCCGTGCAGCCCTCACTGCAGAATGACTCATTATTTTCCAAGTCACTCAAGGCCCTCAAGTCGAAAAAGACGAACAACCTCTCGTCAAAAGCCACCGAGGTGAGTTGGAATCGTTGGGGTGGCGATACCGGAACCCAACTAATACGATATCCCAGGTCCAAGCTGTGCGCAATAATGAAGATCCCCTCCTGTCCGCCTTCACTCCCCTTCAGAACGGCGAGACTACCTCCGTCGTCACCGGCTCCTCGGTCCTGATCACTGCCGTTCCTCACCTCTACCGTCTTGCCAACAGCCCCGTGGTCATCCACGTTGCTCTGGAGCCCTCTCCATTCCCCGATTACTCCGTGATCAGCTCCATCCGCCAGTCCGGCTTCACATTCCTCCACTCGGAGACTGTGCAAGAGGCCCAGGACATTGCTATCACAGCCCACGCGCTTGCTCGCAAGTCTGGGAAGGGTGTCATCCATTTCTTCGACCCCTCTAACTCCGCCAACGACCCCTCCATTTCCGAGGAGGACGTTGAGGTCGTGAAGAAGGTTCTCAACGCTGGTGGAAATGCTGCCACCTCTGCTGGAACCCAGACTCTTTACGCCAACTCCGGTCGTGTGGCCACTGTCACCGAAGAGGCTGTGGGTACTGTACCCTCCGGCCAACCCGAGTCAACGAACTTGACTGTGCCCTCTCAACCTCAAACTCCTTTCAACGCTAGCGTTGACAACTCATCAGTTGGCTCCTCGCGAAGGGACAGCAGTGCTGGCAGTGAAGCCCCGAGCTCGACTGCGACGACTGTGGACAGCGCCGCCGCCCGGCCTGTTAATGCGGCCGATATCTTCGAATGGACAGCTCAGATTTGGAACACCCTGTTCGAAGAGGTGGGCCGCAGATACAATGCCATTGAGTACACTGGTGTTGATGATGCTAAGTCTGCTATCTTCGTCTTCGGCTCGACCGGAGTCTTCGTGGATGCTCTCGCCAACGCCGGTGCCGACCCGGAGTTTGAGACCATTGGCCTGATCACTGCTCGTCTGTACCGCCCCTGGGTCGGTGGACAGATTTCCAACTCTATCCCTAGCTCCGTTGAGAAGATTGCTGTTCTCGAGCAAGTTCGCAAAACCACCCGATGGGGTCCTTGTTTCATGGACCTACTGTCCAGCCTGACTCCCTCTGGCGCTCGCACCCAGGCTCCTCAAATTGTCGGGTACCGTCTCGGATATATTGAGCCCTCTACTGCTGTCCAGGCCCTTCGCGGTGTCTTGCAGAATCTCAACTCCGCTTCTCCCATCCAGAACCTCGACATCGGAAGCTCTCAGGTTCCTACTGTTCAACAGGCTCTCGAGCAACCCCGCATTGAGAACGCATACTTGAAGATCTTGAATCAGCTCTTTGGTGAGCGCCTTCACATTGCCAACCAGCTTGGATCCAATAACGCTGGTATCTCAAGCACTATTGCCGCCAGCCCCGAGTTTGGATTTGGTTCGCTGCTAGCTCGCCAGGAGCACCGCCAGCGCTTCATCCGCGAGGTTGAGGAAGCTACCAAGTCTAACGACTTTGCTACTGACGTTCCCAAGACTTGGTTGTCTCGCTGGGCTTTGAGTGTGAAGGAAGCCGCCAAGGCTAACAAATTGGCCCCTGATGTTATTAGCCGTCTCTCCACCGATGGCTCCGCTATCTCCCGCCAACTCCTCCAGTCCAAGCAGCTCTTCTACGAGGAGTCTGACTGGCTGATCGGCTCCGATGCCTGGGCTTACGATTTCGGCAATTCCGGCGTTCACCACGTTCTCGCGTCTGGTGCGAACGTGAACATGCTCATCATCGACTCCCAACCCTTCTCTGAGCGCGCTGCATCTGATGCCACTCGCCGTAAAAAGGATATTGGTCTCTATGCCATGAACAGAGGTAACGCATACGTCGCCTCGGTCGCCGTTTACAGCTCATACACCCAGGTTCTTCAGGCCATGTCCGAGGCCCAGCAGTTCAACGGTCCCTCAGTTGTTGTTGCCTACCTGCCTTACAACCAAGAGGACGACTCTGCCCTCACAGTACTGCAGGAGACTAAGAAGGCTATTGACCTCGGCTACTGGCCCCTGTACCGCTGGAACCCCGATAACGAGGAGAAGGGCGAGCCCAAGTTCTCCCTTGACTCCGAGCGCATCAAGCGTGATCTTGAGGAGTTCCTCCGCCGGGATAACCAGCTTACTCAGCTCATGAACCGCCACCCGAAGTACGCCCCTGTGCTCTCTGAGTCTTACGGCACTGAGGTTCGTGCTTTGCAGAAGAGAAACGCCAAGGACTCCTACGAGAAGCTCTTGGATGGTCTCTTCGGTGCTCCTCTCACCATTCTCTTCGCTTCCGACGGTGGTAATGCTCAGAACATTGCTAAGCGTCTTGGCAACCGCGGTCGCGCCAGAGGCCTGAAGACCATGGTCATTGCTATGGATGAGTTCCCTCTTGAGGACTTGCCCACCGAGGAGAACGTGGTCTTCATCACCAGTACTGCAGGCCAGGGTGAATTCCCTGTGAACGGTCGCAGTCTCTGGGAGCATGTCAAGAACACCGGTGATCTTGACCTGTCCACCATCAACTATTCCGTTTTCGGTCTTGGTGACAGCCATTACTGGCCCCGCAAGGAGGACAAGATCTACTACAACAAGCCTGGCAAGGATCTTGATGATCGTGTCGCTTTCCTGGGTGGTCGCAAGCTCACTGAAATTGGTCTCGGTGATGACCAGGACCCTGATGCCTACCAGACCGGGTACTCCGAATGGGAGCCCCGCCTGTGGAAGGCTCTGGGTGTCGATAAGGTGGAAGGTCTCCCCGAGGAGCCTGCCCCGATCACCAACGAGGATATCAAGATCGGCTCTAACTTCCTTCGCGGCACCATTGCTGAGGCTCTTCTTGATGAGAGCACCGGTTCTATCCCTGCTAGTGATCAGCAGCTGACCAAGTTCCACGGTACATACATGCAAGATGACCGTGATCTCCGTGATGAGCGCAAGGCCCAAGGTCTTGAGCCTGCCTACAGCTTCATGATTCGCTGCCGTCTCGCCGGCGGTGTTGCCACCCCCAAGCAGTGGCTGCAGATGGATGCCATCAGCAGCTCACACGGTAACGAGACCATGAAGCTCACTACTAGACAGACCTTCCAGTTCCACGGTGTGATCAAGCGCAACCTGAAGGGTGCCATGCGTGCTATCAACAACTCCATGATGGACACACTCGCTGCCTGCGGTGATGTGAACCGTAACGTTATGTGCAGTTCTCTTCCCGAGCTGTCTTCCTTCCACCGTGAGACTTGGGCCATCTCTTCCAAGATCAGTGAACACCTTCTTCCCTCGACCTCTGCCTACCACGAGATTTGGCTGAAGGATGACAACGACAAGAAGGTTCAGGTTGCTGGAGATGCTATCGTTGACCACGAACCCATCTACGGTCCTACCTACCTTCCCCGCAAGTTCAAGATCACCATCGCCATTCCTCCTCACAACGACACTGATGTCTACGCCCACGATATTGGTTTGATTGCCATCAAGGGCGCCGATGGCCACCTTGAGGGCTTCAACGTTCTGGCTGGCGGTGGCATGGGTTCCACTCACAACAACACCAAGACCTACCCCCAGACTGGTCGCATGTTCGGTTATGTCCCCGCCGACAAGGTCCACCTTGTCTGCGAGAAGATCATGCTCGTCCAACGTGACAACGGTGACCGTAAGAACCGCAAGCACGCCCGTATGAAGTACACCATCGACGATATGGGTGTCGACGTTTTCCGTGGTGAGGTCGAGAAGCTTCTTCCCGACGGCCTCAAGTTCGGCGAACCCCGCCCCTTCGAGTTCAAGTCCAACGTCGACACCTTCGGCTGGATTAAGGATGATACTGGTCTCAACCACTTCACCTTCTTCATTGAGAACGGTCGTATTGAGGATTCTGCCGATTTCAAGATGCGCACTGGTCTTCGCGAGCTTGCTGAGATGGGCAAGGGCGAGTTCCGTCTCACCGGTAACCAGCACCTCATGATCTCTCGCATCACCGATGAAGATCTCCCTGCTATCAAGGAGCACATGGCCAAGTACAAGCTTGACAACACTGCTTTCTCTGGCTTGCGTCTATCTTCCTCTGCTTGTGTTGCCTTCCCTACCTGTGGTTTGGCCATGGCAGAGTCTGAGCGCTACCTCCCCGTTCTGATCACCAAGCTCGAGTCCACCCTTGAGGAGTGCGGCCTTGCTCGTGACAGCATCGTCATGCGCATGACTGGTTGCCCCAACGGTTGTGCTCGTCCCTGGCTCGCCGAGGTTGCCTTTGTCGGAAAGGCCTTCGGTGCATACAACATGTACCTGGGCGGTGGTTACCACGGCCAGCGCCTGAACAAGCGTTACCGCTCTTCCATCAAGGAGGATGAGATCCTCGACATTATGAAGGGCCTCCTCAAGCGCTACTCTCTTGAGCGTGATACCGACGGCGAGACCCCTGAGCGTTTCGGTGATTGGTGTATCCGCGCTGGTGTCATCAAGGCCACCACTGATGGACAGAACTTCCACGATGGCGTAAGTGATTCCTTCCATGATATCCACACTATCGATTCTAACAATTTCCTACAGGTTGCCGAAGACGAGGAAGAAGAGTAAATGCTGAACCCAGCAGTTACACATATAATCTCCGATCTTTTATGACTCTCACGGGATCCCCCTTCTAATTGGATATTCTCACGTCTGTATTTCACGTCGCAATGCATTGATGTCTTGGCGATTGTATGATTCCATGCAAAAATGTTAGATTTCTTTTCTTTTATTCCTTTGTTCATTTCAAGTCTGCTCGTACATATATACTCAAATGATATCATTTTTTCCCTATCAATTCCAGGGATCATTCCAATCTAAATATCCTCTTACCTCTTGATGCATCAAAATATGGCAAAAACTCAACCGTGGAATCAGGTCAGGGGGGCGCTGGTGAACCGGCTCAGGTGATGCACAGCTGACATCACTTAGCTCTCTGTGGTAGCCCTGTAAGGTTGGCTTATGTTGATTCAACTTCACTTCTAAACACTTTCGTTAACGCCCATCTCAACCAATTCAACAGGTTGATCAATATGAACTCGATCCTGTCAGCGCCTTTCGCGCCACTGCTCTATCTACATCCTCGGTTTCGTCAAGACCGGGACTGGTCGTATCGACAAGCCCTGGCAAACACATTCCTCAAGGTCTTTCTACGCATTTTCGTGGCATTCCACACAAAACCACCACTTTCCCTCAAGCCAGGTCTAGATGGAGACCGTTTCGTCGTGATAGAGCCCGGGGCACAAGAACTCTACACCAGCATCGCAGTAGATGCCGAGATCCAGCCAGTGACTATAGGAGGCACCTGGTTTCCATCACTCTACCAGTACAACACAACAACCACTCAAGACAAGCACATCGTGCTCCACTTCCATGGCGGCTCCTACATCCTTGGCGACGGCCGCACATCATCTTGCCAGTTCCTCGCCAACAGTTTGCTAAAGCACACACCAACAAGCCACGTCTTCAGCCTCCAATACCGTCTAGCCTGTAACCCCAATGGCCGTTTCCCTGCCCAGCTCCAAGACGCTATTTCGGCCTACTCATACCTACTCCACACCCTGCATATCCCGGCATCTCGCATCGTTTTCAGTGGCGACAGCGCAGGTGGCCACCTCATTCTCGCACTCCTGCGTTATATCAGCGATTATGGTGACGAGAGGGTCCTTCCCCCGCCAACGTGCTCGTGGCTTTTCTCTCCCTGGTGCGATATCCCTGGCGCCCGCAACAAGCATCTCTGGGAAAACATCCCCAATGTGCAGACAGACTATATCCCGCCCTCATTCCCCGCGTGGGGCGCAAAGCACCTTATCGGTAACCTACAGATCACTCCCGAGTTCGAGCCTTATCTCGCGCCGATCTGGCATCCTTTTGTCTTGCCGTCCCCTGTTTTGATTGTTTCCGGTGGCAGAGAGGTTATGTGTCAGGAACATGGTCGGTTGGCGAGGCATTTGAGTAAAATGCAGCAGAATGAAGGTCGAGTGGAGTATTTTGTGCAGGATCTTTTGCCGCATGATGTGCTTATGGTTGCCTGGATTCTGAACTTTCGAAAAGAGGCTGATCAGTGTGCTGTCAAGTCTGGGACATTCTTGACTAGGATGCAGGCTATGTTGGAGGAGGATGGTAGTGAAGTTCCTTCTGTGGCTTTTCAGGCACGATAACGTTGCTATGTATGCCCTTTGGGGGTACCATATTGCTACCTATGTATTGAGTTTGAGCTGGACTTTATGAACTCTTGACTCTACCTCACAGAACAGCTTATGCTGTTTAGAGAGACTCCACAGAATATCTTTGGTTCATTAGAAAGGCCGTCTGGTAGTCACTATCATTTCAGCTCTATTTTTTTTCCGTCTCTTCCACGGATTTTGTTTGGTCGAAATAATCAGGAAATACTGTATTTTTCAAATTGCAGTGATTTGTTTGTCAGTGACCAGGCATCTTTAGACATCAAACCCCCGATCTTCTTTTCCCTCTTTCAGTCTCTTTTATCTCAAATATCAAACCAAGATCCTGTACCCATCGCAACTTACAACTTGCATCGAAGCTCATATCCTCGATATTATTACATTCAACCCAACGCTGATCAACGCTGTGCTCTCATACGAAATCATTGACCGCTGTCTAACTCTGTTCCCCCACTAGCTCCCTGTTTTGACACGTTGAAAACAACCTGGGAATTCGAAGACAGGTACATCCGCATCGCCCCGGGGCACTTGTCTATGCACCGTCGCGGCCGAACATGGCGCCCATCCCAGGAATGATACGTGAAGCTCGATTTGAGAGACAGCACCGCATATACTGGACAGACTACGGGATGTACACCGAGATAAAAACAACTGACATGCAAACTAGCTACAGCAAGCTGGCAAACGTTTCTCACGAGTTCCAGGATAAATGGGTGACCATTGCCAGCGTTCTTTTCGCGATTATCATGGTGGGCATCATCGCCCACTTTTGCTTTGGGGGGAGACACAGGTATGCGATGAATACCCTATTTGGTCATGCGCGGGGTACTGATCTGAGTTGGTCATGCAGGTATCCGCGACAAAGTGCATCTACCGAGGATAAGATGAAGCTGGAGGACGCTGAGTATCTGGATATGACTGAGGAACCCCGCTCAGGTATGACATACATATGTCTTGGTGTGTGCCCGGCTCATGATTTATAGATGGCGGCTGGATGTGTTTCATTATGGCCTGCCATGCTGCCATTACCCTCGGTGTTGTCTGATGCGGAGAAACATGTCTAGCTGTTGGAGAACAAGACGGTCAAATGAATACCCCCTGTTCTCTGCTTGGCTAACGATTATCCGTGAGACTGCAGTTGTGTTGTGAAACTTGAAGGGAAGACTACAATTCTGGTGCTTGTGGTCTGGGCCTAATGTGACTATTTATTTATGAGACTCGATTGAAGCTTGTGGCAAATGGCCAATTCAGGAATAAAGCGTTAGCCCTGGACCAGCACCACACTCACAAGATATGGAACTTGTGACTGGGACAGCATAGACCCAATGAAGTCTATCGCAATGCAGGGGGATCGTAGTTCAGCACAGTACATGTTGTTTAGAGCAATCATTGTCACCATCAAGATATGAATCGAAGGTCAAGGTTGGACTGCAGTATACCTCGTCACATCCATCGACCGGACCCAGCTTCAACCATCCATCCCGAGAACTACCAACATCCACGTGTAGAAACTTGATATCACAGTCTCAGCAGTGCTCCCCGTTGTCCTCGCCGGTCATGTAATGCCTAACGATGCGGGAGATCGCGTCACGCTGTGCTTTGATGACGCATTCTGAGTCGGCAGACTGCCACAACCATTTCATGTCCTCGTGGGTCCCGCTCATCAAACTGCAGGTTTCTGAGTAGTAGATTGTTTTGATGGTGCATGTCAGCGATTTCGCCCATTAGGAGACTTAGTCTGTCACTGCACCTAGGGTCTCGGTGAGATTGTCTGGCATTGCTGCTATGGATGATGGCCATGTGAAGGCTAGTGTTGAGGTTGATAGGAAACATGCCGCGATCATAATGTTTCGCGATAACATGGTGAGACTGTTGAAAATCGATCAAGTGACAATAATAAAATAGCTAGGTCATTGACAGGAATAATGGAAAGGCGATCTACGCGGGGTGGCATTTATACTCCGTACATTACGATCTACAGGGGAAATTTTGGATTATCATTGGACGGCGTTTATTAGGCTGGTCCACATCTCTTCATATGGTGGATCATGATCCTCCCAGATTAAATGAGGCTCTAGTTGTGGGTGGAGTGGCATGAATAATTCAAACACACGGCATAGCGACCTGGAATCTACTAGATCTGACTCTGAGCGATGTATTTTATGTTTTCCCAAACCAGACACATGTCTACTGGGACCGAATATTTAGCCAAATAACTCTTTATTGACGTGCAAATCCCAAAGAGATCTGAGAGTAGTCTAGCTAATTGTATTTAAATCCTGCTCAAACCCAACTATCTCCATCAATTGATATCGCACTAACCGTCCAACCCCGAGCACCCTGACCCACACCGTGAGATCCTCCTCGAGGATTGGTCATGAGGCGTATCCGACCGCGTTGGCCACTTCTTGTATCATTTATCAAAATGATTGATTGCAACCGACATCATAAAATTCCATAGATGCCGGCGCCTGTGCTTCTTAGGTAACGGTGAGAAGCCCGTTCCTGGTTGGTTGGTCATCGTGACCGTTTCGATGGTGACCGACTGGTCCCAATGGGACGAATCCGCCTGCCCGCCCCGGGCGGCCCTGACGTCCCGCTTTCGTTTCGACTACCCCATTCTAGGGGCATTTCTTTGTCGAATGGTGCTGCTGGTTGCCCTAATCCAAGGGAACAGCTCAATGGTGACCGATAGGTCCTGGTAGGATGAATGCGGCTGCTGAACTGTGCTAGCCCTGATATCCTTCTTTCTTTGCGACTACCCGTTCGGGGGCATTTCCTTGTCGACTTAAACGTATCGATGGTTGCCTTAATTAAAAGGAACCGGGTGTGTCCACGAGATTTAGATGCCCTCAAGTCACGGTAGCGGGTTGGTGTGAGAATGGACGAGTGGATTGACAGCAATCGATGGGAAATAGGAGGATTTGAGCAAGGGGTGCGTCTCTCACGCTAGGAAGGCATCGATGTGGAATTGGCGTGCTCGATGATAACGGAGACTGGAAGAGCCTCGACATCAGGGGAGAGTGCTTGTTGATGAGAGGGAGGATAGCATGGTAGCTCTCTCGGCACAACTCGATGGTCCCCAAGAGAAAAAAAGAAAGAAGCAAGGGACAACCGGAACGATATCAATATAAACCAGCGCCGGCTCCCTGTGGGCTTAGTAAGCAATAGCGGTGAACCGATAGCTGTCTTTCTGCCATCTCCCCGCCGATGAATTTCGATAAAAAAAAAGTTATCAGTTCAAGTGATTCAGCTTGGGGAAATTATCGCAAGTTCCCTGCATTTTTATCGCTCATTTTTCATCTGAGATACTTTTTCACCTTATCGCCATGACTTTCTCTGATGACGACCCTGTCGTCGCTTCCTACGACGTCCTCCTCACTGACTCAGATATCTCTCGCTATGTTTTCCAATACGTTGATCGAGAGCACGACCGTCCCTACAATGATCAAGAAAACCAACGACCAATCCAACTTCGAATTAAACCGCGCACTGGACTTATCGAAGTTGAAGTCCCCATCAGCACCCGAGAAAACTACGACGTTAACAAGGGAATGCGCTACGGAGATGCGGTAAAGAAGAGCCGTTCCGCGCGCGACGGGGGTGCTTATGGTATGGCAGGCGGCTTCACTGCTGGCAGCGGAACTGCAGCTGCAGGTGGGAGAGTCAAGGCGGAAGGGAATGGGGATGTGGAGATATTGGATAATAAGAGGGCTGTGGATTCAGCATCATTGATGCGAGTGCAGTCACTTGGAGGTCGGATAAAGCCTTCTGAAGAAGGCGATCCGGTTTATATGCTGGCCACCTTCACAGATAGTACGTTGATTCTACTCGATCGATTTCTTTTTCGGTGGCAGCATTCGATTCTAACACTCGTTCTTAGAAAACTTGCATCTCTCTCCGGTCACATCGGTTGTCCAGTTTCACCCTCAGCTTCACCACCTAGATGCTTTGGATGAGATTCCAAAGGGGAAAGGCTCACGTAAAAAGGATGACGATGACCGACCTACCGAGAGCGAAGCACGTGCGATTGATATTAAAGTCAAGGCTGCTGAAGATGGTGAAGCGGCTGCAAACGCCGGCAATCTAGATCTTCTCAAGCAAATGCAAGATGAGAAATGGAAAACATACGGCTGGGTTGATGCCGAGGTATGTTCTCTCTCTGATAGAACTTGATTCTTGTTTCCCACTAACTCTTACCGATCCCAGGCTGAGGATTCTTGGTACACATATGAGAGTTATATGATCCACAAGGATACCGAAAACCTCCCGTCCCTAGAATCAAATATCGAGTCGGAAGAATACCTCGATAAAATGAGCGCCCCTAGGATTGATCCCGCCCGCCCCGACATGACTGGTTGGGCCATGAAGGAAAATCGCCGGAGGCAAAGAGACAGACAAGCTGGTAATGAAGCGGAATAGGGGGTTACAATTGTACAATAATCCAAACAAGCCATTTCTAGCGGAAGCTTATCATCAAAAGTATTCAAAGGGCAAATCACGCCTGCGTCACGTTAGTTAGGGAACACGCGAAGCTCTTTAGGCCTCGCCACTCATACTTGTCCGCCAATCACGATAAGAGAATGTATATGGTCACGTGACATATTCGGTTTTTCTGCCATCTCCGTTTCATCGCGACAAGTCCGATAAATCTCCCTTTCTCCATCGTCGCCTTCTTTTTTCCCTTTCCCCTTTTTTCAGTTCGGTCGATGGTTGCAGGACAGCGTGCCAACCCGATCATCCGTATTCTATAGCGGAATCGCATTGGTCTCACGCAACATCCATCATTGCGCTGTTCTGTTTTTCTGGCTTTTACCGTTGAAAGCCTGCATCCATCTTATAATTTACCCTTAATATTTTTTTTACTTTTGGAGTCATTATATTCTCATTCGCTTTCAACCTCCAACCTGAGATTTCCAAATCCCAGGAACGCCAATTTCATGCACCATGTTATCTCGCGTGGCTTGTCAAAAAAATGCTTTCCTTCACTTACGGCGGACTCAGGCCTGCCGACCATCGTTCCATCTGCCGACAACACGTTTTCATTCATATTCGAGCAATCGGAATCCGCTTTTGAATCTATCGTCCAATTCAATTCACGATCGCCCACGCAATCCGTCTCCGCAATCAGAACGTCGCCTTGCTACGGCCGCTGATCACCCTAGCATCGATGGGCATTCGCTGGATACTTACGATCACTTCATGCACATGCCGTTTGAGAACTTCGATACATCATCCTTAATTATCCTCGACTCGACGCCACAATCGCAATCAAAAATTTTCCGCAGGAGACATGGTATCGGCGGTGATGAAATGGAGATGAAGGCCAATCTAGAGCTCTCACTGAAGCTTGGAGAATTCGAGCGAGCCTCTGGGTTGATTGTTCGCCTCGGCCATTATCACCCGCCTGGCTCGGATGAATATCTCCTTATGCACAACCGTTTCATGAAAAGTATGGTGGCGCATATGATTCTCAACCGGCAGCAAGATATGGTTCTACCGTTACAGAAGTGGTTTGAAGTTGATATGCCTGCTGGTGGCGTGACACCGGATGCAAGCACCTTCGCGATTATGATTCGAATGGCGCTGCGTATGCTTCATGGATCGAAGCGCGACAGAACTGTCCGTCGATACTGGGAACTTGCCCAAAACGCGGGCTTGGAGGAAGAACTTGTCGGTATTGAGGTTCTTGAGGACTCTGACGTTGGTGAACTGTCTAAGGTGAGCTTACCCTTCTAGTCTGTACCCTGAAGTCCTACTAATAATGTTCCCAATCCAGATTTGCTCCTCCGACATGTTGGACTTGGTCTCGAAATACATGGAACTCTCCCCAACTACTGAACTGCCTTCCCTACCTTCCGCAATCGTCGATGATACCCCCCAGGTCCAACCTGCTCACCAAAGGGGATTGGGACTGGCATCTCTGAAGCAGTCCCTGTCCCTCTTCTCCGGTAAAAGCAATATATACTTGCCCGAAAATTTCACGGGCACCGAAGAAGAAGGAAAGCAATTGATTTCAGATTTGAGGCAAACACGACTTGAAGCTGACAGTCTTGATTCGGCCCTCTGCCGTTGGCGCTCGGATAATGCCGAGAGACAAAAATCCGGGTTCAACGTCGCTTCCGATGAGAAAAAGCTCAGCGGAATCATGAGCCAATGGCACGCGGACCTTGTGAAAAGAATCAAGAAGGAGCTTGCGCTCGTTGAGGAGGCTCTTTCGTCTCGTATCATAAGCCAAGAGCAAAAAGAGCGCTGTGAATATGGTGTGTTTTTGCAAGCCCTCGATCCCGACCGATTAGCTGCACTCACTCTCTTGTCTGTGATGTCGTTGTTCAGCCGCCAGGGAATGGACAGGGGAATCAAACTTTCTGCTATTGCTTCGGTAACTGGAAAAGAGCTGCAGGATGAACTCATTGCCGACTCCTATTTGAAAAAGAGCAAGTCTATGGATCCGAATCGTCTGAAGGCACTGAAGCAGGTACTCTCAAACCGCAAAGACAAGCAAGGCCGACTTCGATGGCAATCTCTCGTTGAGAAGATCACTGCAGACGACGAATCTGTAATATGGGGCTCTCGCTCACAAGTCAAAATCGGTGCTGTTTTGATGGGCATGTTAGTCGAAGTTGGGAAAGTCGCGGTTTGGGCCGAGGATCCTCTCACCAAAAAACGGACCCTCACTATGCAACCAGGCTTCGACCATTCTTATCAGATTCACTTCGGGAAACGATCCGGTCATATCCACATGAATAAAAAACTTGTGGAAATCGTTGCCAGAGAGCCACCCGCTGAGCTGTTGGCCCGCCACCTCCCCATGGTTTGCAAACCTAAACCATGGACAGGGCCAAGAACTGGCGGGTATAAGATATACGAGACCAACCTAGTGCGCACTACTCCCGGTGAACTACTACAACCAGCCTACCTCAAAGCTGTCTTGAAAGAGGATGGGCTGAAAGAGATCCGATCAGGCCTCGATGTTCTCGGTTCCACTGGGTGGAAGATCAACCAACCGGTTTTTGACGTGATGCTCGAAGCTTGGAATGGCGGGGAGGCTATAGGAAAGCTTGCCCCCTTGGATCCAGACCTACCATCACCAGAACAACCAAGTCCAGATGCCGACTACGGAATCCAAAAAGAGTGGCACCAAAAGATTCGTGAGATCGAAAATCTTCGTTCTGGATATCATTCCGTTCGATGCTTCCAGAACTTTCAGCTTGAGGTAGCGAGAGCTTACCGAAAAGAGGTCTTCTATCTGCCCCATAACATGGATTTCCGTGGGAGAGCTTACCCACTCCCTCCCTACATGAATCAGATGGGAGCTGACAATTCAAGAGGATTGCTTCTTTTCGATAAGGGAAAGGCACTCGGGGTATCTGGCATGCGCTGGTTGAAAATTCAGATTGCAAACTTGTTTGGATTTGATAAAGCGAGTATGTCTGAACGGGAGCAATTCACAATGGACAACTTGGATAATGTTCTTGACTCTGCCAACGCGGGACTCCATGGGCGACGGTGGTGGCTCCAGGCTGAGGATCCATGGCAGCTTTTGGCAGCGTGTTGCGAACTCCGGAACGCCTTGCAGCTCCCTGATCCCACGGAATACATTTCCCATCTTCCAATTCACCAAGATGGCTCTTGCAATGGACTTCAACACTATGCCGCTCTGGGTGGTGACCGTGTCGGCGCCCAACAGGTCAACCTTGAACCATCTGATCGCCCTTCAGATGTCTATACCGGTGTGTGCGAGTTTGTCAAGGAAGCCATCGCACAGGACGCAGCCAATGGTGACAAGTTCGCTCAGCGTCTCGTAGGCAGAGTCACCAGAAAGATTGTGAAGCAGACGGTCATGACTAATGTCTATGGCGTGACTTTTTTGGGCGCGACGAGACAGGTCAAAAGACAGCTTATCGACTATCTCCCTGAGCTTGATAACTCAGAGAGGAACACCGCAGCTTTCTACATCGCAACAAAAATTTTCGGCGCTCTGGGATCCATGTTCAACGGAGCCCATGAGATCCAATATTGGCTTGGTGATTGTGCCCAACGTATTACACAGTCTGTCACACCGGAGCAAATTGAGGAGCTCACGCAAGCAGCATTAGTACCCAAAGAGGAACGCTCCGAGGATTATTCGACATCCACTGATCCAGAGAAATCCTTCAGGTCGACTGTGATTTGGACCACCCCCCTGGGTCTCCCAGTGGTCCAGCCATATCGCACTCGCAAGACGCGTCGTGTTGCGACTAGTTTACAAGACATCAGTCTTGTTGAACCCGGCTCCGATGATGTCGTTTCAAAGCGCAAGCAGCTCCAGGCCTTCCCGCCTAACTTTATCCACTCTCTTGATGCCACACACATGATCATGTCCGCCAATGCATGCCATGAAGCGGGCCTGACTTTTTCCGCTGTCCATGATTCATTCTGGACTCACGCTGCCGATATCGACCAGATGAACCTCATTCTTCGAGATGCCTTCGTTCGCATGCATTCCGATGATGTTGTCGGGCGCCTCGGCGCTGAATTTAAAGTGCGATATGGCAAGAACACGTTCCTGGCCAGAATTCCTCGCACCACCCGCATTGGTCGGGCGATCTTCGCGCACCGTCAAAGCACTAGGGTATCCAAACTCCAAGAGTTGATCAACGAACACCGACGGCAAACATTACTCAACTCGGAAGATCCGGAGGATCAGGCCGAGGGTCGTGCCATGGTGACACCCTGCAGTATCTTTGAAGCGCTAGGCGGTACACACTCTGACCTGACCACCTACAAAACAATGGGTGAGAACTCAATCGGGCACATTCCCGATGTTCTGCCAGATGCGAAAACAGGAGGTTCAATCGACACCAACGATCCGGCCATTGAAAGCCTGGTCGGTGACCTCGAGATGTTTGAGGCAAAGCAGACCCGTGGCGAGATATCCACCGAAATGCCGGATGATGTCCATGGTGAACCTTCCGAACATGAGTCTCAGAGCTCTGCGCAGCCAAAGGAGAAGCAGAAGCGCCAGTTAGCCACGTGGTTATGGATGCCTCTAACCTTCCGCCCAGTTCCTAAAAAGGGCGACTGGGACCTGACCCGTATTCGCGAGAGCGAATACTTCTTCTCGTGATGCTCTCTGGGAACTCCCGCATTTCGCTGGCGTTTATGCATACTTTCACTTTTTTTGTTTAGCCATGTCCGGAGCACTGTGATTTTTGGATTCATTTAGCTGACTTTTAATTCCCTGTATATTTTCTGCCCATTTTTTGGGCATCATTTGCATTTGTATATTACACATGGAGAAAACAGTATATATATCACCTGTATGAATATGACATTGAACTTCTAGAACTACCTTGATTCGTTACTCTATATATGATCTATCCACCAGTTCCAACTTTAAATTACCCGGAGAGGTTCTCATGTGAATTTAGGCAAAATGCAAAAGCTGACAAGGGCAGATAGAGCCTAGCAATGCGGATCTAGCCGCTTCGGAATGTCAAGGACATATAATTGCCGTCAAGGTCAAGTTCAATGTAGCATTGGCCTGTACTTTGTCCGTAGACCCGGCCGGCACTTGCATATGGCTCCGTCTGCATAAGGATTATCTCGGGGACCCCTGTACCTTAATGTGCTTTGTCCTCTCCCCGCGGGCCAAGGCCGGGGTATTTGACCGTGGCCAGACGAGGGGTTCAGTCCGGATCTCACCACATATTTCCGCTTATTTCCCTGGAATAGGGGTTTAGTCACGACTAGTGTAGTCCAGGGTCAAATGTGGACATAAGCGAAGGGGGGAGAAAAAGGGACTCTGCAGTGTCACTTGAAACAAAGGGGGGCGGGTGAAAACGTCCAAGTGTAAACTGTGCTTGAGTCGTAGCAGGGCTTGGAGAAATAGTGACACCACTCTCCATCTCTCCGACCACGTGCCGTTTCCCCCCGCCTTTACATGTTTTCCCCAGATCTTCTTAATCATCTGATCTTCTGATCTTCAGTTTTCTGATCGTTTGATCTTCTATTGTCTAATATTCCTGCCATTTCTGATATTTCTGATATTTCTGATTTGGCTTTAACTTGCTAAACCGAAAACTAAGCTTTGGGTCGATTGCGCCGAGGAGGAAAAAAAAAAGTCGCCTCCCGGCTCTCTGCATCTTTCTGCAATGCCGTTGTGACTTCTTGGTCCTATATACTACTAAGCTTTTCACTCAATCTTTTTGTCTCTGACTACAGAGTCTATAACCTCTTGGTCTGTCCCTCTATGTCGCCATAGCCTTGTTTCCGCCTCCTCGGAGAAGCATGTCTATGACCTCCCTCTCCTCCGCCAATTCTTCTTACTCTCCTTTTTCGTCTCAAGCCAAACGGATGACACAATCCCAAACCCCCGGGCTGGACACGCTTGCGGAGGGGTCGCAGTATGCGCTGGAACAGCTTCAATTAGCACGTGAAGCGGGTGCTGCCAACATCCCGACCGACCCCAGTAACTCTCTCGCCTCCAAGACGTCGCATTCCCAACATCTCCTCTATAGCGAACAAAACCGTTCCAGTTCGGGTCTGAAAGATCCAGAATCGCGCGATTCCCTTGCCGAGGCGCGTTCCGCTATTCGCAAAACCTCCTCCGCAACCCCAGTCCGTCGGAGAATTAGCCGAGCCTGTGATCAGTGCAACCAATTGCGAACCAAGTGTGATGGACAGAATCCGTGTGCGCATTGTGTTGGTACGATTTCTTTTTACAACCGACCCTCTCCCTTTGCGCATTGGTTGAACTAACAGTTCCCAGAGTTTGGACTCAGCTGTGAGTACGCCCGCGAGCGCAAAAAACGTGGGAAGGCGTCGAAAAAGGAAATAGCCGCCACTGGCCTAACCGACAGCGAAATGGGTGGCAACGAAAATACAACGCATACGAAAGGACAGCCCTCAAACGGACAGTCTTTGCAAGAATCCACCGAACATTACGATCCCGCCTTCGATGCCGCGCGGACTCTAACCGAAGGCGCACAATCTCGGTCGCATAACGCGGAGGTGGCTGGCCTATCTGCCATGCGCCAAAGTCAAGCGCCCGTCCAACCACCTTCTCAGCAGCAGATGAGTTCTAATATGGCGGGTATGCCATTCAATAATTACGCAACGCTCCAAGAATCCCACCGACCTTCAATGTCCGTACCGGATATGCGCTCCATACAGATGATGCAAAACTCGAATGGGAACCCTCGGTCGCCGGGTTCAATGCTTCATCCTCAAGGGTTTTCTTCGGGGTATAATGATGGCGCATACCCTTTGATGAATGCGCAAGACGCAAATCCAAGCTCCATGAACCACTTCCGCATTGGAAACTCGACGGAGAACCAACCGGCTTCTTTTATGGGATTCTCCCCTCCAGCGCAGTCACCTAGCTGGTTGCCACTTCCTTCCCCATCACCCGCAAACTTTCCTTCCTTCAGTATGCCTCCTTTCTCCAGCTCATTGAGATATCCCGTCTTGCAACCAGTTCTTCCGCACATTATATCTATAATCCCTCAATCTCTCGCCTGCGATCTCCTCGACGTCTATTTCACCAGCTCATCCTCCTCACATCTTTCTCCGTCATCGCCCTATGTGGTGGGCTATGTCTTCCGGAAGCAATCGTTCCTACACCCCACAAAGCCTCGAGCGTGCACCCCTGGGCTTCTCGCTAGCATGCTATGGGTAGCAGCTCAAACAAGCGAGGCTGCATTCTTGACGTCACCACCGTCAGCTCGAGGTCGAGTCTGCCAAAAGCTTCTGGAGTTGACGATTGGTTTACTCCGGCCACTTATCCATGGTCCCGCCACTGGAGAGGCATCTCCCAATTATCCAGCTAATATGGTAATTAACGGAGTAGCTCTCGGTGGCTTTGGGGTCTCCATGGATCAATTGGGTGCTCAGAGTAGTGCCACGGGCGCTGTGGATGACGTCGCTACGTATGTTCACTTGGCGACTGTTGTCTCTGCCAGCGAATATAAGGCTGCAAGTATGCGATGGTGGACAGCTGCCTGGTCTCTCGCTCGAGAGCTGAAGCTTGGCCGTGAATTACCGCCTAATGCGACAAGCCGTCAAGACGGCGAAATGGAGGGTGAGGGGGACATTGATGTGAATGGCAACAAGAGGCAACCGTCCTCTTTGCTGGGCCATGGCCCAGGCAACTCTACCATTAATCTCTCAGAGGAAGAACGCGAGGAGCGCCGGCGAATCTGGTGGCTATTATATGCGACAGATCGTCATCTGGCGCTTTGTTACAACCGGCCCTTGACATTGCTGGACAAAGAGTGCGGGGGGTTATTACAGCCAATGAACGACGATATCTGGCAGGCGGGCGACTTTTCATCTGTCAACTACCGCCGGGCTGGCCCATCCTCTGAATGCACCGGCCATAGCATGTTTGGATATTTCTTACCCCTGATGTCTATCCTGGGTGAGATTGTGGATCTGCAACATGCCCGCAACCACCCGCGCTTCGGCATCCATTTCCGCAACAGCGGCGAGTGGGAAAGTCAGGCCATAGAAATCAGCCGGCAGCTCGATGTTTACGCGCAGAGTCTGAAAGAATTCGAGGCTCGGTATACTAGCTCTCTCGGCCTCGGGGCCGGTGAGGCTGACACGGCCATGGAAGGTTCCAACATCAACCACGTCAGCCCATCTGGTCGGTCGAGTAGCACGGTAGGCTCGCATGTGAGCGAGTCCATTGTTCATACGAAGATGGTGGTTGCCTATGGCACCCACATCATGCATGTACTCCACATTCTGCTGGCTGGAAAGTGGGACCCGATCAACCTGCTCGACGATAACGATCTATGGATCTCTTCTGAGTCGTTTATCACTGCCATGGGCCATGCAGTCAGCTCTGCTGAGGCGGCCTCTGACATTTTGGAATACGACCCCGATTTAAGCTTCATGCCCTTCTTCTTTGGCATATATCTTTTGCAAGGTAGCTTTTTGCTACTCCTGACTGCGGATAAATTGCAAGGAGATGCCAGTCCAAGTGTTGTTCGGGCCTGTGAAACAATCGTGCGAGCACATGAGGCTTGCGTTGTAACTTTGAACACTGAATATCAAGTAAGATTTACCCGTGACCAAGCCTCATATCTACAGCAGCTAATCCCCCGCAGCGAACGTTCCGAAAAGTGATGCGCTCGGCGCTGGCTCAAGTCCGCGGCCGTGTCCCAGAAGATTTCGGCGAGCAGCAGTCACGTAGGCGCGAGGTGCTAGCCCTTTACCGCTGGAGCGGCGACGGCAGCGGCCTCGCGCTTTAGCAAGATTACCGAATATATGCTGAGCCCCTTGCGGCTGTTACTCGTCGTCTTACTTTTGACTTGTTACCGTTTTATTTATCCTTGATTTTGATTTGATTTGCGCCCTGTATACTATATACTTCCTGGATTTTGGATATACCCTGAGGAGCAAAAAGGCGCACAATCTTTTGGTGTCCATATATTGACTCGGTATATACCATACCTACTTAAATATTGCTTTTGATCTATTTGGGGAATATCCTTCTGGTAGACCATTCGCTTTAAGGGATCTGTCTCCTTATTAAGGCGTCGCGGAGAGATCGCTGGACGGTTCAACCAACTCTAGCAGATCAATGCCGATAATACTGAGCGATGTAAACTTCTAATCTCTACCTTAATGCATAGGTAGAATTTTCTATTCTTGTTTTGGTTTGCATAAAAAAGTACCCTTGTATCATGTGATGATGCTTATCTTGGGGCTCCACTTAAGCTCCGATCCTCTCCAGTTACACCTCTTCAACCTCAACCACCATCTATCCCAGCAAATGACAGTACCAGAGATCACAAACCCGAGAAAATGAAACCATATATAGGCATACCTCTTGTGGCCGGACTTGTCTATCGAGCTTGGTCACGCAAATCCCTTACCCCGCTTGGCCTGGTCGCTGCGGCATGTTCAGCCTCCGCTCACGCTCTCCACCCATGGTCGGCACCAGTCGCGCTCCTTGCGGTATTCTATTTTGGCGGAACTAAAGTCACAAAGGTATGAATATAACCATGTATCGAGCGACATTACATACTATGCACTCTTCAACCCACATCTATATTATAGGCACAGCTTACAAGGTTGCGGTGATAGGTAAAACATGAAATCAAGTCGCATTTGACACTCTCCGCAACCGGTGCGGAAGGTGGTGAAGGCCCCCGGAATCATATCCAAGTTCTAGCAAACTCCATTGTTGCTACCATATTATCGATCGCTCATGCGGTTGTCCTGTCCAAAACAACAGGCACCGAATCGTGTTTCTCACTCGGTCAGAATGCGGCTGATATCTTGATGGTTGGGATTGTAGCGTACGTCACTCAACTTCACATTCAATGTCTGCACTACCTGTTATAGGGCATATAACTAATAGGTTCCTCTTTACAGAAATTACGCCGCTGTCGCTGCTGACACCTTCTCCTCCGAGCTCGGCATTCTCTCCAAATCCAAACCCCGCCTGATAACCTCGTTGAATCTTCGTCAAGTCCCTCCCGGTACAAATGGTGGTGTTACCGCGGTTGGTCTCGGAGCTGGTCTTCTGGGATCATTCATTGTTTCTGCGACATCTGCTGCGGTCCTTCCGTTCTGTGCCAATGCCGGATTGAAGGACCGGGCTCTGTGGACCATAGCTATGACACTTTGGGGTACATTGGGCAGTGTTCTTGACAGTGTCCTTGGTGGGCTTTTGCAGGCTAGTGTTGTCGATAAGAGGAGCGGAAAGGTTGTAGAGGGGAGTGGTGGTAGGAAGGTGAGTCCATGATTATGTGTCCTTGGTTACTGTGTACGAAGCTCTAATCCGGGTTTCCAGGTTCTCATTCATCCCTCTACGGGCAAGCCGGTCGTTGCTGATCGCACTGCCAAAGCCACCGGTAGCATACATAACGCTGCATTGCGCGGCACCCAGGTGACAAATGTCGTCGAGGAAAGTCACGAAAGTCGTCGTCTTGAAACTGGTCATGACTGGCTAGACAACAATGGCGTCAATCTTCTCATGGCTGCTACTATGAGTTTCGGGGCCATGGGTATTGCACAGTGGTTCTGGGGGTTGGATGTGTTTGAGTTACTGGTGTAAATTCTACAGATATTCTTCAGTCGGGTAGAATATCAATCTAATCTAGGTCTCGAAATCGCTTATCTGGTTATGGTTCCTATTTATTTTCCAGTTTGGTTTAGATCAAAATTATGGGGAATGTATGTCTTTATCTCTCTTGGTCTTTTGAATGTCTCTGCTTTGAGAGAAGCGCAGTCTAGCTGTTTGTTTGTCGCAGCTGCTTCCAACCCATCACCCTCACACACCTTCTTCGACGAATTCAGTATTTGTTTTTTTTTTTACTCTTCCACTCCTCTCTTCTTCTTTCGGTGTTCCCTTCGCTTCTCAACAACACCAGCCAGTTAAGTAAAGCCAACGCGACATTGATTCAACCGACACAGTTCATCACGTGTCACCGTTGGCCCTAGTTCGTGAGTCCCTTCTACGTATTACACATGTTGGGCCCCATCTCGGACTCAGAGAACTGACAAACAACAAGTTTAGCATAATTAGGGACGACCAGAGCACGTCAGCCAAGATGGCAACCGAAGAAGAACGCGGAATGCACGTGCGAGTCACGGAGCCAAGTGTCTCTTTCCTACCCGAGACCGAAACATCCAAGGCCGTGATACATGACCTCCATCACAGTGACTTGCTTCCTGTGTATGACTACGTCTACCAGGAATTTCTGATGACCGGCATTGCCGTTGCCCATTCGTACTGCACGCGTCTCCTTCTTCGTTGCCCTGCGGATCCTGACAAATTTTCCGGTCTTGTTATCATGGAACCATCTCACCTGTGGGGTGGAACAACCACCTGGCGTCTTATTAATCGGTGGCTGATGCGTAATGGTGAGTTATTCTTCATTCTACTTTGACCAGCTGTCTAGGCTAATACTTTGAAAGGCCATGCCTGGCTGGAAGTTGATTCGCAGGCTCCCGCCGCAATTGACCAGATCAAAAACCTTGATCCCGAACGCTACAAAGAGATGCACTTTATCCGATGCCAGACCTTGCAGGAATTTTCCAGCCACATTCCCGCTTTCGCTAACGCAGAAGAGCTCTGGAATGATTACAGGATCTTCAAGGAAAGATGGTGGGCCGCAACTGTGCAGTCTCCGGAGATTCTTGTTGCTGCATCACATGCTTCGAGATCTGGACAGCTGGGCTTGCAGGCCAACCGCATCCTACTAACTGGTCTTTCCCAAGCTGCAGACTTGATAAGAAAGTTTATCGTCGAGTCTCCTCATCTCCGACGCCCTGATGGATATGCTCCATTTGAGGGATTCATGCCATGCCAATGCGACGGTGGCAACGCCCTTCCAGACTTACGCGAATCAAAGACCATCGAGATTCTAGGTGAATTCGAACTCATCTATAGTAAGACACTCTATGGAGTGATCGGAAGTGAAAAGCCTCCCCATCGCCGTCCTGACAGCAGGTCATTCCGGCTCTACGAAGTTGCTGGCATGTCTCATCGCGAGACTCGATACCTCTCCATGTCCGATAAGAAGCGTTTGTCCGTTGTTGATTTGGAAGGTGCGCAGTGGACCACTTTTGCCAATTCTTTCGTTTACCATGCTCTCTTCGATGCTATGAACAAATGGATTACGACCGGCGTTGCTCCCCCGCGAGGTACCACAATTGACACCAACAAATTCGGGGAGGTCGAGCGAGACGAGTACGGAAATGCGCTTGCCGGGGTCAGAACCGTCCATACAGACGTACCTACTGCCAAAATCATCGATGTCACCCCTCAGCCACACCCGCATTGGCACACTGGTAAGTTGCTCATGTCCGCGAAAATTTCTTTCAGCCGTTTAACCTGGTTCTCGTTGAAGGCACCGAGGTCCCTTTCAAAGATGTCAAACTGTGGGCTGTCTACAAAACGGTAGAGAACTATCGACGTCAGGCAGGAGAAGCCGTTGAGCGACAGATGGATGCCGGATTTTTGTTGCCGGAAGACGCGGAGATCCTGCGTCGCGATACCATTGAGCAAGTCTCCTTTTAAATCCCTCAGACTATGCTATTGCTTGTTTTTCATCGTTTATTTGAGGTGTTACCTGGATCTTGGGGGGCTTGGAGTTTCTCAGCAAACAGCTGTGGTGACCTGCAAGCTCTTGTGTACCTCGGGATGCCCTTGGTCATGTTGAATTGGATTCAAGATCAACTGATCTTCTGCGCTTTTCAATGTCTTTAGCGAGGATCGTTTAGCTATTTACATGTCAATGTAATTCTTCTGTCTGCTATCTTTCGCCACAGCTAATTTAATCCGGTTAAATGACATGAGAATCGATCATGCACTGGACAGCATCAACAATGCTAGTCTTGAAATCCACATAGTTCCATTTGCCAGTCTTCGTGCCCTTGGCCAGGATATCTAGACTGAGGCGCGTATCCCACCCAGTTGGGTGAATACCCGGGGGAAGAATTTGAGAAGGATTGCCTTCTAGAACACGGTCCTTGAGTTGAGGGAAGTTCTCCCTAATAGTGTTCGCCACCAACTGGGGTGTGATCAGGTCTGCGACTAGGATAATTCGCTGGTGCGAGGCTGCTGGATTGGTCAGGGCATCTACGTGGCTCCGGGCGACATCGCGGACATCAACCTAGACATCAATTAGCTTGGAAAAGCCACCGAGGGGTGTATCGCATACAAAATGGTAGAATGGGAATTCAACTCCGTCTATCGTTTTATAAGTTCCATCGATGAAGTTGGCGATTGCGAAGCGATTGGTTTCGTTGATAGAGCTTGGTCCGGTTATGGGGTGAAGCATGGGACCAGTGATGATATCCGGGTTGATGACAACCAAATCAAAGGGTAGCTTGTTCTTCTCGAAGAATTCCCATGCTACGGCTTCGGCTCTCTTCTTTGACACGTTGTACCCGAGAACGGCGTCATGTTGAGCAATGGCCTGCTCGGCCGTGACCTATGTCTTTGTTAGTGATATTTGCATAAGATATCAAAGATCCAAATGTCTATACCGGGTTCCAGTCTTTCTCGGTGTAAGGTTTTCCCTCTTTCGTCATGTCTTCGAAGGAGTTCATCACGGTAACCGCACTACTTAAAAGCACGAATCGTTTAAGAGAGGTGCCATATTTCTGTGCGGCTTTCAAGATTTCCGTAGTCCTAGTGGAATTAGTCTGGAGGTTTGAAACTTCCCCAACGCCAAGCTTACCCTTTTTCAGCCGGCTCGATCATCTCCTTTTGAATATCGGACACCTGGAACGTTACTGGAGATGCAGCGTGAATCACATAGTCAATCGGTGTTGTTTTGAAGATTTCATCGAACGGTCCCTCGGAGGTGAAGTCTGACACGATCGCGAATTCGATTTTGTTCTTCCACGATGGATGGGTTTTGATTATGGCCTCGCCCTTGGAAGGGGACCGCACTGTCGCCGTTACATCGTAGCCTTGCTATTTGAATATTAGCGATTGGTTTCTTTCCAAGTCCGTCAAATGCTTACTTCGATCAAGATAGACAAGATATGGGAAGCTACGAAGCCATTAGCTCCCGTGAGCAGGACGCGTCCAGACTGTGACATTTTGGAAAATATTCAAAGTAAATGCTCCAAGAGACGTCAAATCCACTTACTATCTAAGAGGCCTAACAGGGCTTAGGGTTCAAACCCCCACTTCCCTTGACGTCCCGGTTTTGACGTCAGTCAGATTTCCGAGTCATCGATGTCAACGTCTTTCTATGAAACAGGTCCATCTGTACTCTTCCCGGTCGTGTACCCACTTCTCCGGGTCAACCGGCAAAATCGGGGAATTCTCGGATGTGGGAGTTCTATAGTCAATTTTTGACTAGTTCATGAACTTGGGATCTGGAATTCCCAGGAAACATGGGGAATGCGATACCCAATCCGCCACGGCCACAAGTTCTGAAACTCTGCGCCGTTCACAAGATCTGATTTCCTGCGGCCCACAGGTGGAAACTTGGCATAGAGATCCGATGTCCATTCTCCAAGGCGCAGCTGTAGGGCTTATGGTAGACCGTAGGGTCAAATGGAAACTTTCTTTTTTGGTGTCAGCGGAACGGGGGAGATGATAGTTTGCCAGCGTTAGTTTCTTACTTTTTCTTTTCTCTTTCCTCTTGCCCAGCTCATTGAAATGGTATGCGTGAGATAGCATAAGGAATGGTGTCCGCGGTGATAGTATACACAAATGAATGTTGCTTGAGCAGTGTCACACAACATACACCTCAGCTCCAGCAGATCCATTTATAGCACTGCGTATCAAGGCAGGCAGAGCTTATGAAGGGATACCGAAGATCCAGTCATGCACAATGAATCACAGTTGCAGCGGATGTAAGCTACTAAAGTCTGTCTTTATTAGGAAACGTAGTTGCCGGCCTTGTGTCTCCGTATTAAATTTAGTACACCTACAGCCTGGTTGCCAACCAAATATCACCGTTTAGCGCTGCACCATGCCCGTTGATACGACATAGCCTGGGTCATACAGAGGCAGGGCGCTGAGCATAGCAGGGTATAAAAGTCCCTCAATTCGCCCAAGGTGTATGCTTTGTTTTTCCCCAGTGGGCTTCCACGTTATATTATCGCCTTCATTGTACTGACTGGTGTGATACCTATCTCTGCCATCTAATCCTATACTTCAGTCTTTCTCATCATGGGTCTGGTCAGGCTCTTACTCAAAGCGATCCTCATCCCAATTGTCGTCCTCGTTGTCATTATTATTGTCAGTGTGCTTCTCGTCAAAATGCACAAGGATCGCAATAAGAAAGAAAAGGAAGTGGAGAAATCTTTCCACCCGCCCCCTATACAGCAATGGGTGCCGTACACCCCGGTCCAGCAACCAGCGCCGGCATATGTCAAAACACCGGGGGAGATGGAGCAAGGAATATACAGATAGCCTTAGACATTTTCTGTTGTGTAATGATGCCCTTTCAGTCGAAACTCTAGTAGTTCCCTTTGCTAACGGGGTGCAGACTATTTCGCTCGGGCAATTGGAAGGTCTATTTTTCGACGTCGCATAGGATTTTGTGTGAATTTACCATTGAAGACTTGTCTGTCAATACAAATCGGGAACTGGTACAATGCAGCCATTACATATGTAGCAGTGACTCTATTTCATGCTGGAACTTGTGCTAGAGGGATCAGCAGCATCATTACTGTTCGGGCTTGCAATCTACATTCAGGGGGATATTCTGTTGCCTGATCATGTCGCCGGTTAACCGGTAATTATCTTATGGTTGTATTGCTTGTATCCGATACTCAAGTCAGGGGCTATTATTGAAAGCAGCTCTTTGAGCCTACGAGGCGACCCGATGGTGATTCTTACTTTTTGCTCTAAAGGTAGTATTGGCTCGCCGGAAACGTAGATTTCTTGTGTTGCTCAAATGTAATTTATCTAACTGGGAATAATTAATCCAAACCCTGCAGCATCCTAAACGAAGGGTGCATCGACTGCGTCTGGGTGCACGTAGAATGCAATTGCGATTATCAGATATCTAAGAGAAATCATTAGTACCGAGGACAACTAGAACACCCATGTGACCACTCACGTTCCAACTAATAAAGACCCTTCGTAGTAGTTGGATCGACCTCCACGAATCAAGCAGTCCATGACTATTACCGATAGGAAGAAGACCACGGTTTCAAAGGGACTATAGCGTAAGGACATCGGCTGTCCAATGATCCAGCCACACATAACCAGGAACGGGCTAACAAACAATGCAATTTGCAAAGTGCTTCCCACAATCACACCAATCGCGAGGTCCATGTTCCCTTTGATCGAGGAATTGATGACAGTGTTGAATTCCCCCGCGTTACCAACAATGGGAACCACAATCAAGCCAATAAAAGCCCGGCTCACATGCCACTTGTCTACAAAGCCATCGACGCTGTCCACCAGACGATCAGAGCAGACGGTGACCCCGAGAGTTGCAAGGACCAAAATGATGCTTGCAGACCAGGGGCCCAGCACCCGCTCTTCTTCTTCGTCTACTTGCGTATCGTCGACAAACAGCTCGGAGTGACTCTTCAGTTGGAAGTATAGGTAGACCAAGTAGAATGTGAGCAGAACCACGGAGGCGGCACGGGAGAGACTCAGGACGCTGGCTTCCACTTCCTGGGACTTGGATGGTATGGTTGAATAGAGGACGGACGGAATGATCAGTGTTGCAGAAGAAACCACCATCAAGGATGACAGTATCCCACTAACATCCACGTTGAATTTCACGATATCTTTTGCATAGCCGTCGCAGAACAATGAAACACCGAGGACCTAAATTTATGTAAGTAGCCAAGATCACCTGGGAGTGAACATGCACCAAGAACCAAACCTACCAGAAGATTTCCCGACAGGATGCTGCCCACCATACTAGACTGCACGATGCTGATTTCTCCCTGCCGAACCGCAGTGATCCCCACCTGCGTAGTGACCAACGTCAGTTTTTCCACATTAACAGAGGACCAAACGTCCAGCTTACAATCATTTCAACCGCATTTCCAAACGTCGCATTAATCAGTCCTCCGATGGTCTGCCCGACACTTTTTGCCAGTTCCTCTGTGGCGAACGACAGCAACGCGGCGAGAGGAAGAATCGCTAGGAAGTTAAACAAGAAGGAAAGCGAGTCATCCCACCCTAGACTCCCCGAAATTATGCCCAAAAACACAAACGGCAGTAGCAAATTGCTGTAGCTGCATCCCAAGGTAATCTTGACCACATGTACAGAGTTACCTAGGAACAGAGCGCGCTTCGATTTGGGGTGGTTTATGTCACGCAACTCTGTAGAGTTCTGTCCGTTGCTGTCGCGTTCATCCTCATCTCTGAGTAATGCGTCTTGCTCGTGGGCTGTCGTGTTTGCTTCGAGGGACCCAGCCATAATTTCTGGGTCGATCTTGGTTGACTTTCGCAGTCGGGGGTGTGTGTTGCTCATGTTGTCAAGGGTGAGGAAAGAAACTCAAAAAAACATAGGGGTCGAGGGCCAAGGGGATGATGTATTACTGCCTTTGAGCCCTGGGCATCTGCGTACGCATTGGTGTAACTGACGAACTGCGTATTCTACTTGTGCAGATAAAATACATGTACGTTTCAGTTAATTATGTTTGTAACGGTATATGTATGGAAACATTTTTGTAAAATACCGATCCTTATTTAGTGACCTGCACACATGTGTGGACTTACTAGAAACGGGGTTCTCTCAGCTTCACCTTTTCCTTCAATGAATTATATCTTCAGATCGAGATTCATCTATGTTATATTGCAACTTCATCATGGCGCAGATCCAGCACCACCTGGGCCTGTTGTCACTTTTGATACCTCTCATTGGTATCACAGCCGGAGTTCTGAAGTGGAACAGTGCTGTCATCTTCGCTCTCAACACTGTCGCTATGATCCCGCTTGGATTATGGATTAACCGATCAGTCGATGCGCTGGCCGTGGGTGGCAGCCGATCTGTCAATGAAGTGCTGAAATCAACACTGGGGAACTCGGTGGAATTAATGGTGATATCCAGAGACTCAATCTTACATTTGAACATAGGCTGACAATCGTTGAAACAGATCGGAATCAATTCGATCGCACAAAAGCGACCACACATCTTCCAGTCCGTGATACTTGGAAGTGTGCTAAGCAATTTACTACTGGTAATCCCGACATCAAATCCACCTCTGAACCTCCCTCCTAATACGAACTATATCTCCAGGTCCTTGGCGGCACCATTTTCGTCTCAGGCTATGACCAAAAGCGACTTCGATTCGATCGTACCCTCACAACAGTCCTCTCATCCCTCATGATGGTCGTCTTCATCCTACTCGCCCTCCCAACCGTAATGAACGTCTTCCTGTCCGCCGAAGCCACCCCGGAGGATCAAATACTCTTCACGCAACGCGTAACATCCATAATCCTCGTCATTCTGCTCCTCACATTTCTCATCTTCCGCCTCGGCACCCATGCAGCCATGTTTGCCAGCACCCCATTCAGTCAGCGAGACCAAGCCCGTCAGTCTCGCCAGAGCCAGATCGTCGAGGCCCGGATCCCACAGCCGTATATCGGCAAGGGTCCAGCAGCTATAATACTAGAAGCTGCATCTGCGTCTGCTCTTGCATGCACCTATTACATAGTTAGCAGTTTGAGCGGAGTTGCCTCGATCACGGGTATGAACCAGTCTTTTCTTGCCGTGACACTTGTTCCTCTGATCGGGAACTCTGTCAAGTATCGATCCATTGTGGTGGGGTCCCGGTCTTACAATCAAATTGAGCTTGGGATCAGGGCGGTTATTCACAATGTGTTACGGATTACGATGCTTATTGCTCCGCTTCTGGTTCTCATTGGCTGGGCTTTTGATCAGCCGCTTATTCTTAGGTTTGATGAGTTCGAGGCTACGACACTGTTGCTTAGCGTCGTGGTTATGACTTATCTTATTTCTGATGGGCGGAGTAATTATTTCGAGGGATTGATGTTGATTGGAACGTGAGTCGCTCGCACTGCTGCGTTGGGCTGGCTCGTCGGTACTAATTTTGCTTTCTCATAACAGATACATTATCATCACGTTCTCGTTCTTTGTTAGGCCTGAAGTACCGTTGAATGTGATTTTCTTGGGTGTTTAAATTTGTCCAGTTCAGATATGTCATATCATTGATCACTTGAAGTACCTTTTAAAGATGTACTGAGGCAGCAGAACCCTTGAGCTATCTAGCGCGCATAGAACGCCGCAACCAGACTAGAGTACCTATAGTTATAGGTCAGTAAAAGTATCGTTGGACATTAGTAAGGAATGCAGGGGAGCCTACAAAGCAAGCAGCATCGCACCATGGATGTAAGCGTACTGTCCATCACGAAGTAGATGATTAACCACCAGAATGGCCAAAAACATGGCAACAGTCTGGAACGAGTCAAAGAAAAGCGTCATCGGTTCAGCAATGCACCAGCCGATAATCACCAAGAACGGTATGACAAACAGACCAATCTGCAAGAGACTATCGATGATAACGCGGATTGCAGAGTCTGTGTCTCCTGTGCGAGATGCGGTAATGACAGTAATCGCCTCGGTGCTGTTGCTAGCGATTGGAATAAAAACAATCGCAATAAACACCTCTGAGACTCCGAGCGTTTGCGCCATGTCGCTGGTGCCTTCAAGCAGGAGTTCTGTGCAAAAGATTGTTGCGGCCACCGCTGTAATCAAGCGGATAATTGATGAAGTTAGGCTGGCTCGGCTGGGCGGGGATGATGAATCTCCGTTACTTTCATCGTTACCAGCTTCATTCTCATTTGAAAGAAAGAGATGTTTGTGAGTGTTGAGATAGAAGTAGAGGTAGCCTCCGTAGAGCACGAGGAGTACCAATGATGTTCCTCGTGAGAAGGATAGCACTCTGTCATCGATCTCAGATACCGGGAAAGTCGAGTAGAGAGCCGTTGGGAGAAGCATTGTCACAGATGTGATCATCATCAAGGAGGACAAGGTCTTTGAAAGGGCGCTGTTGAACTCTAGAACTTCCTTGTTGTACGAGGCTGTGACAAGGCAGCAGCCAAAGACCTAGAATTGGGCTGTCAGTCAAGTGATAGGGCCGCCACTGGGACTTCCATAATGCGGGAACTTACGAGCAAAATATCTGATAGAATACTGCCAACCATGACAGACTGTGCAAATGGGATCTCATCATGAACCAGAGCTAGGATGCCCGCCTGGACTGAGTGAGCATTGGGCCATATCGATATTTGGGGCAATAATTGCGACGCACCGTAAGCTCTACAGTATTTCCGAATGTGGCACTGAGTAAAGCACCTTGCAGTTCTCCAAGATGCTTAGCGAGTTCATCGGATGAGACAGATATTGCCTCGGATAAAAAGATAATGGCGACGATATTGACCACGAGAACGATGGTCAGATTCCAGTGGAATATCTTTGCAGCCCCAGCCAGAGGTAGCAGTATCATCACTAGCCACCCGGGACTGATATTCATTTCCTTCAATCCTGTTTGCGATGGCATCTCGAAGAACCTCTGGATGCGAGTCCAGAGGTCTATATCATCTTGGATTTGCTCTTGGTGCTGATAGCGACTGGGTTGTCCACTGGACTCTGAGGTGTCTCGGCGGAAGAGCATGATAATCTGGAGAAAGAGCTTTTATAGAGTGAAGCTGAAGTGCAATGTGACCCGAGACCGGGGAAATTATCTGGGCAAGATCCAGAGTACTGTGTTTGAACCGTTACCACGGTACGGATACGGGTAATAACTGTCGGCCTTAATTAGAGTTATAGCCCTGTTACTAGCGCCAAACAGAACTGTCTTATCTCCACTGGGGAATCGGTTTGACACCATAGGGCTGAATCGGCATTTAGCCGGATACCTGCAATTTGACGTATAAATACGGTATACAACTTTCAGGCAACAGCATTTTTTCATATTGGTCTCAGCCTTATGGGATATATTTGAGCTATGAATAGTTTGATGATCGCCATATTACTTGGTTATTACTCGGGAAACACCGTCTCGAACCCCTCTCTGGGTATTGTCATTAGGATTCGTGTTCCCCCCCCCCCACCTTGGCAATGCGTTCACGGCTCATAATATTCCTCCGAGTGTACCGGTCGCATCCTATCCTCACCCACAACTCAAGGATCATTCACGGTGATTAAGAACCCACCTCTCTAATCCACATAACCATCTACCCCAGAGTTGAAATCATTCCTATTACCCCGCCTGTTCTATGGACAGACACCCTCCCTCCCTCGAGTCTCTCCAGAGGGAGGTCATTGAACTTACAGCCATATATCATGGCCGAGACTGGACAACCGAAGCAACAGATCTGGAGTCGGCACTGGAGACAGCGAGGAATCGGGTAGTCGCAACAGGCGCCGATTCTGACCCAACGACAATAATGCTCGAAGAGTTAACCACCTGTGTGAAAGCATGGCTACAGGTCAAATCATGGATCGTTGCCGAAGATCTAGGCCTTCTGGTGCTGAGCTTCTGCGAGAAACGGAAGGGAGAGCGAGACCCAATGACCATGACAGCGATGCACAATCTCGCTTCGGCGTATTGGGGCCGAGGGCAGATGGATGAGGCTGCTACTCTCTCTGTCCGGGTGACCAGATTGAGACAGAATATTCTCGGCGAGGAGCATCCCCAGACATTGACTTCGATGGCGAATCTAGCTTCCACGTATCGGATTCAAGGGTTTTGGGCTGATGCTCAGAAACTTGATGCGAGGATTGCCGAGATCAAGAAGAAGATTATGGGTCCCAGGCATCCATCCACCTTGGGCTCAATGTCTAATTTGGCCATATCGTATTCCAATCTCGGTCGGTATGAAGAGGCCGAGACAATTGCGCGCCAACTGGTCGATATCGGGGAAAGGGAATTATCGCCAACTGACGCCTCACTGTTGAACTGGAAACTTACTCTTGCATCGACCTACCGAGATCGGGGAAGGCTGGACTCCGCTGAAAAGATAGAACTGGAGGTTGTCGCTTCTAGTCAGGACATATTTGGGACAAATAATCACTTTACTTTGACCTCTATGGCCAACCTTGCATCCACATATCGCCAACAAGGCCGATGGTCGGATGCCGAGCGCCTCGAAAAAGAAGTTGTGGCTATCAGCGAAACGGTGCTCGGCGAGACACACCCCCAAACGTTGATGTCCATCAGCAACCTTGCCTCAACATATCGCAATCAAGGTCGGCTCGAAGAAGCCAAAAGTCTCGGAAAGAAAGCAACAGCTGTGCTAAAAGAGGTCCTCGGGGATCGTCATCCACACACACTGGTTGCCATGGCGGATCTTGCAGTGACATATCAAACGATGAGGCAATCACCAGATGCCGAGATCCTAGCAGCCCGGTCTCTACGTTTGATGGAAGAGACGATAGGCAAGGACCACCCGCACACACTCAGCGCGATGGCCAACCTGGGCTTTATATACCAGTCGCAAAGCAGGTGGGAGATCGCCGGTGGAATGGCCGAAACGGTACATTCTGGCAGGGAAAGGGCATTTGGAACGGACCACCCAGATACCGTGGCGGCGCTGGAGGACTTGAGGAGAGTAGCATGGGTAGAGGCAGCGGACCAAAATTCACAGCGTACGTTGAATTAGCCTCTCTTTTAGGATTGGAATGTGGAGAGGCCTTGCCGAATGTTCCCAGCGCCATTACTCTATATCTAGCCAATGTTAGCCATTTTTAACCCAATTTTTATGGGTTCAGTGACCAATTGTCAAGCTTTACTGGCGCTGATGAACCTCTTTTGAACCAGTTGGGTCGAGGAGATTCAGCCAGCCCGGGGCATTGATATAGTCTTCTGTCTTGCACAGCCTCCTTGCCAAGACTTGAAACTGTCAACAATCTGCTTGTGTGATCCTTGTGGCTTTCTTTGGGGGTGTACAATAGACAGCACAGCCCTATAAGAAACATAGTTGCCTGCTCTGGAGTGGAGTTTGGTTGTTAGTTGCATGGCTAATGAAGGCTAGGCTTTGTCGAAGATCAGCATGACTAGTCAGAACGACTAGATAGGAAGGCCCCATATTGATGACCAATTGAATGACCTTCGCTTGATTCATGTCCCTATAATATATATAATAGTATAAAAAGTATGTAGAGTGTCTCCTATATGTTGCTATATGAGCCCAAATAGATATCTCTTGCAAAACATGTTGTGAATATCGGGTGCGGCCAATCGTATAGCATTGGTGTCTAATACTATGAACACACTATTGTTCTAATATCCTGTCTCATATCATTAAATACTTTACATTGAGAAGTTCTATGCATACATAATCTATGCCTTTTCCTTCTATGCACGGTCTATAAAACTGAGGAGGAAAAAAAACCTGAAAGACGAAAAAAGACCTAAAAAGAGTCCTAAAAAGACATCACTCGGCCGCATGAGCGGTCGACTATTCTTGTTTCTTCTAAACAGACAATAGATCTCAGTGATTACATATATGTTCAATGTTATTATGTTTTCGCATCCAAATCCCTCAAGATACGGCTGTATTTTACATCTCCTCCCTTTTTTTTACGCGTATTTGTATTTCGCCAGAACACATCTGTGTGCACCTGGGCACTTCCTTTTCTCGTTTTATCCATTTAATTCTCTCCCGATGACATTCCCCATGCAATGATGCCAACTTCGGAGGCCAATAGGTCTCATATGTTTTCTTTTTGGTCGCGAATAGTAAGTTCAGCGATGGTGAGGCCCGAAAATGCGTCTTACTGATACCCAGAAGAATTCGCGATCAAAACGGGCCACGGCACAATCTACCCAACCGACTTTTTCGGCTTTTTCGATTTTTTCTCTGGATCCTGACATATTAAGCAATCTTGTACAATCCAAAGATATCGAGGGGCTCCATGCCCTGGGTGGGGTAAAGGGTTTGGAGGAAGGACTACGATCCGACGTCCACTCCGGTCTGAGCCTGGACGAGACCTACCTAGATGCTCCTGTGAATGTCGCTACGAAGGTTACAAGCACTGCACCAACAGAAAAAGCCGCTATCCCTGAGCTCCCTATCTCGACAGAAGCCAATCACAATGCGTTCATCGACAGAAGGAAATTCTTCGGGAACAATCGCCTACCCATAAAACCATCCCCGAGCTTCCTGTCATTGATATGGGTAGCCTATAACGACCATGTCCTATTTCTTCTAACTGGGGCTGCTATTATCTCGCTTGCTTTGGGGCTCTACCAGACATTCGGAACGAAGCATACTCCTAACAACCCGCCCGTTGAATGGGTGGAGGGCGTTGCCATACTCGTTGCTATCGTCGTCATCACGCTTGCCGGTGCCGCAAATGACTATCAAAAGGAGTACAAGTTCCGGAAACTCAATAAGAAACAACAAGATCGCAATGTGTGGGTCCTTCGATCTGCGAGGATACACGAGGTTCCCATCTCCGAGGTTGTTGTTGGTGATATTGTTCACATTAGTCCTGGAGATATCGTGCCTGCTGATGGAGTCTTGATAAGAGGTCATCAGGTCAAATGCGATGAGTCCTCAGCAACTGGCGAGTCCGATCCTGTCGGTAAGAGCGCCATCGATACAACTCATCCCGATGGCTCTCATGAGATCCACCCCTTCATCTTCTCTCATACCAAGGTCGTGGAAGGCATCGGTGCATACCTTGTCTTGGCTACAGGCATAAAGTCAAGCTACGGCAGAATCCTCCTCTCTCTTGACACTGATCCAGGGTTCACTCCGCTTCAAGTCCGACTCAGCACTCTTGCGAAAAACATTGCCCGCTTTGGTGCACTTGCGGCGCTTGTGCTGTTTGTCATCCTATTCATCAAGTTCTGTGTCGGTCTCCGGAGTAGCACCGAATCAGCCTCGGAAAAGGGGCAATCGTTTTTGAATGTTTTCATTCTAGCCTTGACTGTCGTTGTGATTGCAGTTCCCGAGGGGCTTCCCTTGGCAGTTACACTCGCGCTGTCATTTGCTACTACTCGAATGATGAGAGATAACAACTTGGTTCGACAGCTCCGAGCATGCGAAACGATGGGACAGGCCACGGACATCTGTTCAGACAAGACGGGAACGCTGACGCAGAATAAAATGACTGTTGTCTCTGGCTTTTTCGGTAATACCTTGCAATTTACGGATCGATCTAGCGGTCCAAATATTTCGGATGAACAAAATTCCTCATCTGTGGCAAAATGCATGAGCCGTCTTTCGGCCCAATCGAGGTTGCTTCTGAGGCAATGTATCGCGATCAACTCTACTGCAATTGAAAGTCAATATGACGGAGGTCGGCAATTTCTTGGGTCCCAAACAGAAGCCGCCTTGTTGAGATTCACCCAGGACTATCTTGAGCTAAGTCAACTTGACTATGACCGTGCTAGTGCGGAAGTTGTGGATCTTTTGCCTTTTGATACTTCTCGAAAATACATGGTCACAGTTGTCAAACTGGCCAGCGGGTTATATCGCTCATATGTGAAAGGTGCTCCTGAGATCCTCCTTGAGAAATGCGCCACAATTTCACAACCAATGCCAGGGCTTGTTACTGCTCCACTCATGGAGGAGAGCATTGACCGAATACGCCAGACAATTTCTCAGTATGCCTCACGATCCTTGCGCACAATTGCGATTTGCTTCCGCGATGTGGAGAATTTGCCCTATAGGGGTGGGGAGAAGACTGTTGACTTTGAGGAGCTGGTGAAAGAGCTTACATTTCAAGGACTTCTAGGTCTACAAGACCCTCTCCGGGCCGATGCTTGGGGTGCTGTAGATACCAGCCATAAAGCAGGTCTCACTGTGCGCATGGTTACCGGTGACAACCTTCTAACAGCAAGAGCCATTGCAGAAGAATGTGGAATCATCAACAGTCCAGATGACCTTGTGATGGAAGGCGATAAATTTTGCGCGTTGAACGAATCACAGCAGAAGGAGCTCGTTCCACACCTCAAGGTTCTTGCTCGATCTCGCCCAGGTGATAAGCGGGTTCTGGTCCAGCGTCTCAAGGATCTCGGGAGAGTCGTCGCTGTCACTGGAGACGGTACCAATGATGCCCCTGCCCTTGCCGCTGCTGATATCGGATTTTCGATGGGAATATCTGGCACTGAAATTGCTCGTGAGGCTTCTTCTATTGTCCTGCTGGATGATACGTTTTCTTCGATTGTCAAGGCTATCATGTGGGGGAGAGCAGTGGGCGATGCTGTCAAGAAATTTTTGCAGGTAAGACAAAGGCTCTATCAACAAGGAGTATAGATGGCCCGGTCGGTCTAACTTCCGTTCTTCAGTTCCAAATTACGATCACTTTCACCTCAGTGGGCCTGGCATTTGTCTCGGCAGTAGCCAACTCATCGCAGGAGTCGGTTCTGACACCGGTGCAGCTCATGTGGGTAAACCTCTTTCAAGACACTTTAGCAGCTCTGGCGCTAGCAACCGACCCTCCTCCTCGCCGGATCCTTGACCGCAAACCCGAACCAACATCTACACCTCTGATTACTCCTATCATGTGGAAGATGATCATTGGCCAGTCTGTGTATCAGATGGTAGTAACGCTGGTCCTATACTTTGCTGGCTCTTCTATCTTTTCCTATCACGGGGGTCTTCAAACCTCACAATTACAGACTGCTGTTTTTAACACCTATGTCTGGATGCAGATATTTAATATGTACAAGTATGTTGAGACCGCCATTATCTTTTTTTCGTCTTACTAATCTCAATACAGCAATCGACAAATCGAGCGATCATTTAATCTCATCGAAGGGATTCATCACAACTGGCTCTTTATAGCAATCACCTGCGTTATGATGGTTGCTCAAATCTTGATTATGTTCGTCGGTGGGCGAGCATTCTCAATCACGAAGTTGACTGGCGATCAATGGGCATATTCCATCATCCTCGGTGCAATATCTATTCCCGTCGGGTTCCTTTTGCAAGCTACTCCCACTGTCGTTGTTGAGAAACCCATGGCAGCCATGGGTAGGCTATGGAACCGCTTGCGCCGTCGGTGATTTTCCATCTTTCCCTTCCTTTCCTTTTCTTGTTTTTTTCTCAATCAATCTCGCGGGCGTCTTTGAATCTTGGGTGGTCATCTAGACGGAACAGCTGTAACCTGTCTTTTGAATATCCACTTGCTCAATGTCGTAGTCCCTTATCAGGGTTGTCATTAGTTTGAGTAGTTCAATCGGGTCAGGTTGCGGTCGGGGCATTGGTTGTACCCGGCTCCCTACTACAATCAATATGTTAATGTACATTGCGAAGGGATGTAGATATCAAATGCTTACATGGATCAGAAATGACTCGACATAGCTAGTCTCGGGTTGAAACCAGCGGTCTTGTGTATGTGGCGCAGACACTCATCATCGCTCTGTAGTTCGTTCCTCTCGCTGCTCTCTGGGGTGCAGAAGGTAAAATCATGGGCTCGGTGATTGTTTTTATTTCGATATCTAGGCTCACTGTATCCTGTGACTTGCTTGTGCTGCTGCCATTATAGAACGCCCATTCTCCGAATGGTGTCCGTGACAGTCATCCTCCGACACCCGGATGACGCAACTTTGTAATTCTCTGTCGTGATGGTGTGGTCTGCCCCAGAAATTAGTGCCATTGTCGCTCTTTCTCTCCCAGCGTTGCGAGCTTGGTTCGGGGTCTGGAACAGAAATCGATCGACGATGAATCGTAGTGACCCAAATGGAATCAGAACGATTGGCCTTCAGTCGATTCTCCGGTCGGCAAAGCAGATTATATTTGATGGACATGATGTTCATGCGACGATATTCGATGTGGACTGGTGGACAAATCGGAGTCAGGAGACGCTTGGAGGTTTTCAGGGTAAAACGGTTCGAGTTGAGGATCCGGTTCGCGTGGGTGTTAAGAGGCCCTCATCCCAGTAGGCGGGAGTGTAGCTATAGAGCTAGCGATGTATCGTTTCTTAATATCTACTGTGTTGATTAGTGATTAAACAAAATGAGCTTCAATATGGTCGAACACGAGAAACCACGCCTTGCCATTCTTTCCGCCACTCTCTGAACTAGCCAATGGGTGACTGTTTAGTTTTTTTCCTCTCTTTCTGAGAGGCTGTCTATCTCCCTTGGGGATGTCATCTGAACGCTGGTTCTGTTCCTGTCGGGTAATTTGACATAATCCAGTGTGGTGGGAGGCATAAGGTCTGCCAGCTGTCTGGATGTATCCATTTGGAGAACCGGGCTGAGGCACACACCACTAGATCATACGGCCTTTGGAGACTTTGAAAAGAACTAGTTCTGACTAAACATATAGGTTTCACCTGAGAAGCGTCCTCGGGGATAGATCAATGCAATTGATTCGTTCTTTCGAAGTCGGTCATGCGAGCCCAGGCTAGATTGAACTAGATCGGAGAATTGAAGGCTCACCCCAGATGAGTGGGGCCAAAGAAATCCCAGTTATTTAATATTCATGTTCGCCCTTTCCCCTAGACGTGCTATGTAGTATCATGTAGTATCATGTACATGGCACGTGGGCAAGTTGTTCTGTTCACTCTGCCATGAATCTTGCCACTTTGGGCCAAATCCCTCTAGGCCTGGAACCAGCTGGAACCGGCGAACCGGACTTGAGACTCCCAGTCTTCTGTCACCAACTTGATAGCAGATTTCCTTCTGTAACGCGTCCATACAATAAGGGCACGTGCGCTCGCCTCGGGGCACCCGACCTACCAAGCAATTCGTACAAAACAAGAGTTAATAAGAGATAATAAGAGATATTTTCCAGAACAGACACAAGCCATACGATAGAGACAGTCCGGGGATGAACCTCTGATACACCCACGTGTGGACTTACTGTGCTCTCATAGGTAGAAGTGGGCCATGCGCCCCCACACCCGCCAAGAGCCGCAACTGTCCAATGGCTGTGTAGGCGTAGCCAATCAGAGCTCGTCGTCATCTGAATTCCACTAAATCTACACCTAATCGGGATCCCTTCCATGGCATGTCAAGGTAAAAAAAGGTTCCCCGATGGTTGCCAAGATAACCAATTTGCTTGAGACCGTAAGCTTGCGGAAACGAGGCTTCTTGGCTGAGCCCTGTTGCATTTACTTTTCGCCAAGCCCACGAGGGTCAATTGATGGGCTCCCATTGCGAGTCGGACCAGCACGTGTGGCCAAAATGTCCCAAACGGGAAGTTCTCCTAGGCGTAGGACCCTTGTCACAGAGCCTAACGTACATGCAGAACAAGAGGGACCATATCAATTAGAATCTTCCATGCATACATAAAAAGGGCACTCTTCTCTCCTTGGCCTTTTGTTTCTCTCCATCAGCGCCCAAAGTCCAGTACTAAGCTTTCTCTTTGATACTAAGCTTTGTCTTGATACAATCATGACTCTTCACCAGTACGACTACATCTTTGCCATCGGCACGTTGTTTGCAATGCTTGATGCATTCAACAACGGTGCAAGTGAGTTTCAGCCTATCCCCTTACTTGATCTCGACTAATCTTGGGAATTCTCATAGACGATGTTGCCAATGCTTGGGCTACCAGTGTCTCGTCCCGCTCCATCTCCTATCGCCAGGCTATGGTCCTCGGTACCATTTTCGAATTCGTCGGAGCTGTCGCTGTCGGTGCCCGTACCGCTGATACTATCAAGAACGGCATCATCCCCAACTCGGCTTTCAAGGACAATGCCGGTGTTCAAATGCTCGCCTTCACATGTGCCCTTGCCGCTGCATCCTCGTGGGTGATGTGGTGTACCAAGCACTCCGCCCACGTCTCCTCCACCTACTCCCTCATCTCTGCTGTCGCCGGTGTCGGTGTTGCAACTGTTGGTGCTTCCCAGGTTCAGTGGGGCTGGAACGATGGCAAGGGTCTCGGTGCCATCTTCGCTGGTCTCGGCATGGCTCCCGTCATTTCCGGTTGCTTTGGTGCTATCATCTTCATGTTGATCAAGTATACCGTGCACGTGCAGAGAAACCCTATCGCCTGGGCCGTCTGGAGTGCTCCTTTCTTCTTCCTGGTTGCTGCCACCATTTGCACACTCTCCATCGTCTACAAGGGCTCCCCCAACCTGGGCCTGAACAAGAAGCCCGGTTGGTACGTCGCTGCTGTCACTATGGGCACTGGTGGTGGTGTCTGCCTTTTGTCTGCTATCTTCTTTGTTCCTTTCCTCCACTCCCGCGTGATCAAGAAGGATCCCTCTGTGAAATGGTGGATGGTTATCCAGGGCCCTCTGCTCTTCAGCCGTCCCATCCCTACAGACTCGGAGGTCTCCAAGGTCCCCAACTACGCTGTGGTGCAGGATGATACCGAGGAGTATGAGTCTACCCTGCCTATCGATGAGAAGGAGCCCAAGGTCGCTGCTGCCTCCATTCCTAGCTCTACCGAGGAGCGATCCGTTGAGAAGCTCGAGGCCAATCAGCCCTCCTACCGCGAAATCATGGCCCAATCTGAGGACCGTCACAACGCCAAGCTCCTTAAGAGCCGTGGTCCCATTGGCTGGGCTATGCGCCTTCTCCGCGACAACCCCATGGGCCCCGGTGAGATCTACGAGATCCGCAACATGAAGCGCATGGCCAAGCGTCTCCCCGCCATCATCACTGTCGGTCTTCTCTACGGTTTCCACTACGACATCCACACTGCCCAGAGTGGTAATGAGGGTACTCCCGAGGGTGAGCGCATGAAGCGTGTCTATGCCAACGCCATCAAGTACCCCAACGAGGTCGAGCACACATACTCCTTCATCCAGATCATCACCGCTTGCACTGCTTCCTTCGCCCACGGTGCCAACGATATCGGTAACTCTGTCGGCCCCTGGGCTGCCATCTACTCTGCCTGGTCCACCGGCACCCCCGCTGCATCCAAGTCCCCCGTGCCTATCTGGCAGCTTGCTGTTCTGGCCATTTGCATTTCCATCGGTCTTTGCACTTACGGATACAACATCATGAAAGGTACGCACTCCTTCCTCGTTCCTTTTTTTTCCAATCTTCATTCTTACTAACTGTCCTCTTAGTCATGGGTAACAAGATCACCTACCACTCACCGTCCCGTGGATCATCCATGGAGATGGGCGCTGCCATCACAGTGCTGGTCTTCTCGCAGTTCTCCCTGCCCGTTTCCACCTCGATGTGCATCACTGGTGCCACCGTCGGTGTTGGACTCTGCAACGGAACTTACAAGGCCGTCAACTTCCAGCGTGTCGGTCTTTTGCTGTTTGCTTGGATCATGACCATTCCCATCGCCGGTACTATTGGTGGATGCCTGATGGGCTTGGTCCTCAACGCTCCCCATTTCCTCACCGTTTAGACATTTGTTTTGCCATTTTGATTCCCCCATGAAAATTTTTGAACAGCGCGCATATTTTACTTAATTCTTCTTTTGAAATACCAATTTAGATTTGGACTATCAAATTTTTCATTCACGATACATTTTACAAGAGTTGGTAGTGGCTAATATGCACTATTATTGGAAATAAAAGACTTTTAAATTGGAACCAGTGTTAATCGATAACCTCCACCGTTCTAGTATAAGGCAAAACAAGAATATTCGACCGTTTATGCGGCCTTGTGTCATTTGAGTGGTCTTTTCAGCAGTCCTCTCAAGGTCTTCTCGGGGTCTTCTGTTTAGATATCTTTTCTTTAGGGTATTTTCTCCCCTTCTCGGTTTTGTAGAAGATGTGTAGGTGCACGGCACCAGTATAATTTGGGAGATAAAAACGAGAAGTGGGTATGTAAATTCCTGATGGTAGGAGGCAAAAAAAAGCAAAACTAAAAAATAGTTTCCCTGGGAATCGAACCCAGAACCTTTCCGGAACATCTGCTAATCGCATTTGTTAACGGAAAATCATAACCGCTAGACCAGGAAACTGTTCGGCCACTTGGACCAATTGATGGAAGGTGCACCCAACTTTGACATTATAAGCCAAGTCTTGTTTTCTTTCCTCTTCTTAGGGCTTGGAACAATAACGTTATATCCTTCCCTCTCTAGTGACAAATTTATGGAGAATTCATTGTTCTTTCATAATCTAACTGCTTTATTCAATATAATACCTACGTCGGGACCGAAAGGGAAAAAAATATCTCGAAATAATTTGTACATATATTCTCACATGTAGTTACATATTCTAGATCCGCAATCTGTGATTCTCAATTCCCAACTTACATCTCCTCTGCAACCTTGAGCAACTCATATCGCTCCCTCCTTAAGTAATCATAAGTGACAATCTTTTGACGAGCATCTTGTTCGATAGATTCCCATTCCTCAGGAGAAATAGTGATCTCGCCATCCTGTTTCGGGAAAAGGGTCATTGGGCGGCTGCGTTTCGCCAGGCCGACCTTGAAAAAACCGAGCCGGAATTGGGTCTGCTTTGTCGGTTCATGAGGGGCTCCGAACACAAATGGTTCTTTTGGGCGCCCGTAAGGCTCTCCGTTGAGTGCTGATGTGAGGCCCATCTGGAAACATTCTTGTCTGAACCGGTACCGGGCGGATCCCGGCTTGGGCATTTCGTACGCAGCTTGATCACCCGGAAAGTTGGCTGGAGCTGCGGTCGCGTCAGTGGAGGGGTTTAATTGTCTGGGTTCTTTAGGGATGTCTGGGACATTTGAAGCGTTCTCATCCGTGGCACCATCTGTGTTGCCACCTCCGGTGTCATCTGTACCATCTGCAGTGCCTGCGCTGGGTTCGTCTTCATATTCATCTCCAGTGTCGGTATCGGTGTCATCTCCAGAATCGCTCCAAGACTCGTATCCAAGTTCTTCTGCAAGGACCCTTCCAAGAACCTGGCTTTGCGAGCTCGTCTGGTTATCTATTCCTTGCTGCAGATGCTTCTCATCCACCATTCGTTGAATTGGCACCTTACACCGGGGCTTTCTGATTTTAGTAAGCGGACGTTGTTTGATCAAAGGTAGTTGCAGTTTGACGAGAGCCCCCTTCCAAGTCCTCAATGGTCGTTTGCGTTTGACTTCGGTCGAGACAGAGTTGTTCTCAGTCTTGTCGAATTTCACATGCAACGCGATAGCCTCCTCATGAGCACGCAGTCTTGCAGACCGAGTAGCCTCGCTTATTCCATGCCTGGTGATATCCAGAAAAAAGCTCAGATCCTGACATTCGACGCCCTCTGTCGGATCCATGGCGCAAGGGTTCGCATTCACAAAGTGCTGATGAGCTTTGCTCATGTTTCCGCGTAGAAACTCAACTCGACCCATCCAAAACTCACACCTGGCAACAAGAAGGGGATTTTGGGATCTATCTGCAGATTTCCTGGCGACCTTGACCATGAGCTCGGCTTCGGAGGGATTCTGGTTGGCGATGAAGTTCGAGGCTGGTAAGAGAAAAGAACCAACCTCAACCCGATGGTACACATGGAAGACGTCTCCGGTAGTCAGCTCGATAGACATGTTTTTGAAGATTCTTGCAAGGGCCTCGAGCCTTTCTTCTCGAAAAACGAGGGCTTTCAATATGAGCGCTCTTTCCTCCTGAGAAGAGAGGGGGGTTTGGCCTGCCAGGAGCCCCCATAATTGCTCGAGTGGGGTGTGTCGTCGGACATGATCAAAAGACTGCTTTGCCTCCAACAGGGTATTAGAGGTTGATCTTAGTAAATTTGTGAAGTATGCTGTGATAGGATTGCTGTTGGGCATGCAATTCGAAATTCTTGTCAGATAAAAGAGATGGAAGAGAATATTGGTATTTGGGATGTTGATGAAGGAAGATAGCAACCAAGCCAGAAAAAGTGCCCCTTATGTACCTCATAGGCGCGTCGACAAGGAAGACAACAAACGCGTTGAAAGGCGTTTCATCAAGACAAGTTCGAGACAAAGACAGGGATACCGACACCTGAGTCGTTCTTTCCTTTGTTTCCCTCAATCCCATTGTTAGCCTCGCTGAAACCGAAATGGCGCATCCTATTATTCTGTCCGCTTTGTGTAGCTTTTGGCTTACTCTGTACAAACTGAGCAATATACCGATATAGTTAGTTTCATGACTATGTAGTACTGAGAATCCTCTACCTATGTAGCCCTAGACAAGTTGTTTTGGATTGGTCAAGATATACGTATGTTGTACTTCAGGTAGGCACTATTGTTGCAGGTTGCCGGGCAAACAATTCAGACAAAAGTTCTATTATTACAATTTACTCGAAACAAGGTAACCGTGGGAATTTGATTTATTGGAATATTTCTTTGTGGAAACACCATTCATCAGCCTGAGAACATCACAACGGGATATTCCCATAGAAAAAGGGTCACAATTTTGGGCTGACCTACTAGAGTTGAAGAATGAGCATGAAAAGCGCCCATTTACTATACCCAGCGGCTCCGAACATAATACCCTCACACGCGCCTCAAGTAACCCAACTCTCGTTATTCCCCCTTTCCAACCAGATTTCCAATCTCTATGTAACATTTCCGGGACTACCTCGCCTTGAATACTATGTGACCACGATCAAACTGGACACGAGCTGAACTGCTTATTGCGAGAATCATGTATCAACGAATGAACCAGAAGAAATATCGAAATAGCGACATTTAACCAATAGATACGTTCTGTAGTATTTCATAAATTGACTTTGTTTTTAAGATGAGTCACTATCGTCCCAGTCTAATAATGCATGGGTAGATGCTGCCGCCGAGTGATCAAACTCCGCAGCCTCTATGCGAGTAAATCCAATGATGGCTTCCCTTTGAAACTCACGGGCCGTTGCGCCGTAGCCTGGTATGTCCAGCGCCCGCGAAAGCAACCAGTAAGCCTCTGGGAACCTTTCAAATTTCATGAGGTTCATACCTTTGATAAAATGAGTAATTCCCACGATAATGCTGGATTCTGGGTGATTCAAGACGGCATAGCACATGTTAATCTCCACAACCGCTTCTAGGCTCATCATAGAATCTTCATACTGGCAAAGAGAGTGCTGAACGGCAGCAATAAAAAGTCGACATCGCATCTCATCAAGTTCGCACAGAAAGGGGTTATGACTAATGACCCGCGAGGCAAGCTCTATTGCAAGCTCTGGATCACCACGTTCCCACCGCTCTTCTGCGTCTACTAGTAATGAGTCACTGTATGAACAGAGCCAGATATCATCGATCAAGGGTGGCATTATTTTTGTTGGCGAAATTGTTCTAGAAATGTTAGATGGAGATTGGGAATCAAATTGACAAGGGGGAATAACGAGAGTTGGGTTACTTGAGGTGGTGTGTGCGAGCATAAAATCGTGCTCTGCAAGCCGCGTCTGAAGATTGCACACGGCATTGATGGCTCGAGACAATTCTTGTTCTATCTCGGCTTTTTCGCGGCTCACTTGGTCAAGGCTGGTGCAGTCATTGGAGACGGACCGTCGGGACTTGCTGGCCTTGCGAAGACGACGAAAAAGGTTGGCCATTTTGGAATGAGAATACTCTGGTGTGATTTTCTTAATCTGATGAATAGTTTGTTTGAGATGATCTTTTTGGGGATTATATACTAGTCCGTCGAGCAATTGCCGGGTTAGCTTCCAAGGACAACTCCATACTGGTGAAAGAGCTCATTGTTTCTGTAAAAGCAATTTTATTGTGACGAAGACTAAGAAACAGTCAATGTTTGAGACATGCTTTGTCCCATCTTTTGTACTAAATGTCAAATACCAAGTTCGGATTGATCAAATACACCCGGTATTTCATCCTATCCACGGATAGGTGGAACAGAGGATAAACCCTTCTTTCTAGACAGTATTTATATGCGCGCGTTCTTGTTTTATAGCTACTCAGAGAGTTTTATAGCACTGTAAAATACCATACATTTCGTGACAGTCAGATTTCTGTTACTAAACATAGAGCAACATCGAAGTGGGGACTGGTTGTCTTTTATGGCAACCTGATGCAAACCAAGCAAAGCTTACAAACAGACAAACCCAACAAAACAGGAAAACAGAACAAACTTTACAAAAGCGACAAACGCATACCTATGACATCACTAATCCCCATCTACAGCACCTCTGCTGGCAAGATGCAACCACAAAGTGGAATACTCGGCGTCAGCATGGATCGTACCAAGTGTTTGTCTTGTCTGATTTGTCCAACCTGACACTACAGACCTTTCCGCAATAAGCCGCTTACCCGATCAGGCCATGAATCTAGACTTGCGGGGTTCCTGTTGCAAACATGTTAGCAAGACAAAACCGGGCCAGAGGCTAGTCTGCAACATTGAATCACATTTATAAAGGGTGCGTAGCGCGCCTACAAAGAATGCAGTTTTTTTTTGTACCCTTTCCCCTCACTTTCTTGTAGACCATCGTCATATAAACTACTAGCCGTGCTACATACCCGCTCTTGCCGTTCTCTAATAATTTGTCATAGAGATTTAGAAGCTTAACGCTTTTCAGGTACGGATCCCCTCAAGTGCTTGGAATCAATTCCCGAACTCTGCTCCTTTTGTCTTACTCGCCCAATACCAATCTCTACTTGCCTTTTTTTTTTGCTGCTTTCGGTTCTGAATTAACATTCATATCCCCCCAGTCATGTCTCCTACCGCACTCAGAAACGTCGACACGGTAGAGATTGTGAATATCCAACAGGATGACATGGAATTCTCTCTCGTGGATGATATCTATAAGAATCTGGACCCGCCAGCAGGCACACCTCGCACATTCCCTACCCTCCTACTCTACGACGCCAAAGGATTGAAGCTCTTCGAAGATATCACTTACTTGGATGAATACTATCTTACCAACACGGAGATCGGAATTTTGACAAAACATGCGAAGAGGATAGTTGCACGCATTCCGGAAAATGCACAGTTGGTGGAGCTTGGCAGCGGGTCTGTGACCCCTACACCCTGGAATCTGTCGCCTCGCGCGGCTGGATGATCTTGTCCATTCTGACAATTATTTTTCTAGGAACCTGCGCAAGATCGAGATTCTACTTCGGGAGTGTGAACGGACCAAAAAGAAAGTAGATTACTATGCCTTGGACCTTTCATTGGTGGAGTTACAGCGAACGTTCTCTGAGATCTCACCCGAGAGCTTCGTCCATGTAGGATTTCATGGTCTCCATGGAACGTACGATGATGCCGTCGGCTGGCTGAAAAGGCCAGAAAATCGGAAACGACCCACAGTTGTTTTGTCGATGGGATCATCCATGGGCAACTTTAGTCCTTCGGGTGCTGCGGAATTTCTTGGTGGTTTTTCCAAGCTCTTGAGCCCGTCCGATTTCATGCTTATTGGATTGGATGCATGCAAGAACGCGGAGAAGGTATTTAAGGCCTATAATGATTCCAAAGGTATTACTCGCCAATTCTATGAGAATGGCCTCCTGCATGCCAATACGGTTCTTGGCTTCGAGGCCTTCAAGCCCGACGAATGGGAGATCTTGACTGAATATGATACCTGCGAGGGCCGGCATCAAGCCTTTTATGTCGCGAAAGTTGACGTGGTCATCAATGGGATCAATATTCCCAAAGGAGAGAAGCTCATCTTTGAAGAGGCATGGAAGTACGGTCGCGACGAACGGGATGAGCTGTGGCGCAGTGCAAACCTCATTTCCCAGATGGAATTTGGAAATTTGACAAATGATTATCGTGAGCCATGAGCTTGTGTTGAATTGTCGCCGTAGGTTTGCTGACTTGTTTTCAAACAGATCTCCATCTGCTATCACCCGCTGCGCTTGATGTGTCTATGGATCCTTCGAAGTATGCAACCCAACCGATCCCGAGTATCGACAACTTCCAGTCTCTGTGGACTGCATGGGATCTCGCGACTAAAACCATGATCCCTCACGAGGAGCTTTTGTCCAAACCCATCAAACTCCGAAATGCGCTGATCTTTTATTTTGGCCACATTCCGACATTTTTCGGTGTGTCTCCAATGTTCAATCTTGCTTATCATGTTCACTACTAATCACGCTGAAACCCAGATATTCATCTGACGCGAGCTTTGCAGGATGAGCCTACTGAGCCTAGTCATTATAAACTAATTTTTGAGCGCGGCATTGACCCAGATGTCGAAGATCCACAGCAATGCCATTCCCACAGCGAAATACCTGACGAGTGGCCACCACTGGACGAGATTTCGGACTACCAAGATAGAGTGCGGAATCGTGCGCGTTCAATCCTACAAGATGGATATGCGTCAGAAGACCGCGCTCTTGGGGAGGCTCTTTGGATTGGATATGAGCATGAAGCAATGCATCTCGAGACTTTCCTCTACATGCTACTCCAGAGTGACAGAACTCTTCCTCCGACAGGAGTTGATCGCCCGAACTTTGAGCAAATAAGTCTCCAGGCGAAGCGAAACGAAAAGCCAAACAAGTGGTTCAGCATTCCACAGCAGACTGTCGAAGTTGGATTGGATGACTCCAACGAAGAAGTCATGCCAAATAAATCTTTTGGATGGGACAACGAGAAGCCCCAAAGAAAGGTCACTGTGCCTGCCTTTGAAGCCCAAGCGAGGCCCATCACCAATGGCGAATATGCCGAGTACCTACAGGCTAATGGAATCCAAACATATCCCGCGTCCTGGGTGTTCCACCCGGGTCAAGACAAACCCATTTCCAAGGGCATCGGTTCCTTAGGCGCCCATGCCGGTTCGAGCTCCAGTACTGCGGCATTCTCTCTGGAGGACTTCACAATTCGAACCATGTTCGGACCCGTGGCTCTTAAATTTGCACAAGACTGGCCATTGATTGCTTCCTACGATGAAGTGTCGAGCTACGCAAAGTATATGCAATGCAGGATCCCCACGTTTGAAGAGACCAGGAGCATATATCACTACTCGGACCAACTCAAAAGTCATCGAGTCACGGATGGCCACAGGTATGGAAGAAGCGTTGTTATGATATTGCATAAACTAACTTATGAAATAGCAATGGGGTCAATGGGTCTGCTAATGGTAGCAAACCCAACTCTACTGGTCAGACTGTTTTCCGTGATCTCACTGGTTGCAATGTTGGCTTCAGCAACTGGCACCCTGTTCCTGTCACACCCAATGGGGACCGGTTAGCTGGTCAGGGTGAAATGGGAGGTGTTTGGGAATGGACCAGCACACCATTGATGCCCCACGACGGCTTTAAACCTATGGACATCTATCCTGGATACACATGTAAGTGATGCCCAGAACATAGACACCAAATCTAAACTAACTGGTCTTTACAGCGGACTTCTTTGATGGAAAACATAATATCGTTCTCGGAGGCTCCTGGGCTACTCTACCTCGCATTGCTGGCCGGACTACTTTGTGAGTATAGGCCCTATGATATTCCTGGACCAACTAACGCATTTTAGTGTCAATTGGTACCAGCATAACTACCGCTATACATGGGCGGGTGCACGTCTAGTTAGAGATCTATAGATAGAGTTCGAGCAATATCAAAATGAGCCCCTGGCCTGGTGGAGTGCTCAATAATATGGATGACCTCATTCTCGCGATAAGGGTGGGGTGTAACGTGACTGCCCCTCATCCCTTCCCCAACATCTTCTCCAATTCCTTGTCATCTCTTCATATTAATTGAATAAATACCTTGCATGATGTCGTTGGAAACTATTAAGACTATCTCCCCCGCTACCAACGAGCCTGTTGTCACTCGCACCGGTGTCTCATCGGAGGACTTGAAACAGATCCCCGTGAACGCCCAAGCAGCTTTCCGGTCATTCTCGCAATCCACAACTTTGGAGCAAAGGCAGAAAATTGTGGAACACGCCCTTGATGTCTTGGAAAAAAAGCAGGATGAATTGGCTCGTGAGATTACCGAGCAGATGGGCCGCCCCATCGCCTATACTGGTGTCGAAGTTGCGACCGCCATCAAGCGTAGTCGTTACTTGACCCGTATTAGCACCTCCGTGCTAGGCGAGCAAGGAATTGTGCCCGGAGAGGAGGAGAAGGGATTTAGACGGTATATCAAGCGTTCGCCTGTCGGCGTGGCGCTGATTATCTTCCCGTGGAACGTGAGTCTAATCTCGTTAAAATATCAATATGCCTGCAGACTAGTGCTAAGTTAATACATAGTACCCCTACCTCACCCTTGTCAACAGCTTGATCCCCGCCATTCTTGCTGGAAACGCTGTTATCCTCAAGCCCTCCCCCCAGACTCCAACGATCGTCGAGCACTTTGCCTCTGCTTTTGCCGAGGCTGGTCTTCCCGAAAATGTACTTCAATTCTTCCACTGCGGATCTTTCACATTTATTGAGACGTTGGTGCGATCCCCGCTGGTGAACCACATCTGTTTTACGGGTTCCGAAGCTGGTGGCCTAGCAGTGCAAAAAGCAGCCTCTGATCGAATTGTGAATGTTGGTCTGGAACTTGGCGGCAAGGACCCGGCCTACGTGCGAGATGATGTAGATCTTGCCTGGGCCGCCGAGGAAATTGTGGATGGCGCCATATTCAATAGTGGACAAAGCTGCTGTGCGATCGAACGTGTCTATGTCCATGAGAAGGTCCACGATGAGTTCATTGCTGAGGTGAAGAAGGTCCTGAGCAACTACCGTGTCGGCGAGCCTTCCGATCCCAAGACGCAAATTGGACCTGTTGTCTCTACGCGCGCGAAGGAGGCTATTCTCGCGCAGATCGAGGACGCTGTGAAGAATGGCGCTAAGAACGAGACTCCTGCCAATGAGACCTTTGAGAATTTCCCCCCGAATGGAAATTATGTCAAGCCTACACTGCTGACCGGTGTTAATCATGATATGGCCGTGATGAAGGATGAAACCTTTGGACCTGTGGTTCCTGTGATGAAGGTCTCGGGTGACGACGAGGCTATTCGCCTGATGAACGATAGTGACTTCGGTCTTACCGCTAGTGTATGGAGCAAGGATGTTGCGGCGGCCGAGAAGCTGGTTGATCGTGTTGAGGCTGGCACCGTCTTCGTCAACCGATCTGACTACCCTAGCCCTGTAAGTGTGGCTCTTTCCATTTATTATTGTCACCCCTCGCTAACTGAAGTACCCTATAGGACCTTGCTTGGACAGGCTGGAAGAACTCTGGCCGCGGTGTTACCCTGAGTCGATTCGGGTTTGAGCAGTTTGTTAAACTGAAGAGCCACCACATCAAGGATTACCCCAAATAAACATGTTCATGTGATATAAGTTACAAATTGTCGGTCAGGAGAATATAATTTACTACGTAGATTACCACTCTGCAATCACAAGTACATGCCAAGAAGTACCATAGATCCACTATTCCTTTTCTCGGGATCGATTCTCTCAAAATAACAAACTGACGGGTTTTGTCTTTCACCGGCTATTTTAGCCCGTTTCGGTAAGGTTTGATCGTCAAACGACAGATGTATATTTAGACTATCAATGCTCCCGAGGTTGTGATTCACTCCACCTGTTGTCATTCAACTTTAAAACAAAAATTCTCAGCTCTCAAGGCCATTGTCATGTCGTCAGTCCCACTGTCAGAGGACAACCCCTTCCAGTCTTTGATTGCGGAGGCAAACAACGATCCGGTGAGTGGATGCTAGAATTGTGAGGTAATATCAAGTGTTTTAACCCCTTTTTGTTCTGATAATAGACAACACTACAATCTCGATACGAGAATCACCGAGTAGCTCGCAACAGCCAGCAAAGTGCAAAGATCCTAGCTGACAGCTTTCCTGGGTGGTCCGTTGACGAAATTTTGAAGCGACTTGATGGCCCAGGAAAGGAAGACGGATTTGTCGATCCTCGAAACTGTCTTGTCATCTGGGCCAGACCCTCGACTCAAGTTCGCGACCTGATATCCTTTATTCAACATGAGTTGAAGAGCATTTCTCCTTGTAAGTTCACCAAAATACAATGCTCCGAGGAATTTTCCTTGTGATCATTATATCGCTAACGTGGTCGTAGCACTCTGGCTCATGCCGCTTGAAAACCTGCACATAACTATCTTGGAAGCCGCTCATTCTCTGACGGAAGAGCAAATCGAAGAACTTGTCCAGGCCCTCCTGTCATCCAAGGACGTCACGTCTGGAGATCTTGCAACGTATCCGCGCAGCCACCCTACACGTCTCATCAAGCCTATGGTAAGCTTTGATTCTGCCGCACTGGCGCTCAGCTTTGTTCCGGCCGCTGGTGAGTGCCTAGAAGCGGGATTTAGTAGCGGTAACGAACAATACACATACCATCACCTTCGCCGAGATGTCTTTGACATGGTCCGACAAACCAAGGTCCCTGTTGCTTCGCGTTATATTGTTCCCTCGGCACATCTCACTATCGCAAGATTCGTCTCCCAGGACGGGTTTATGGTCAAGGGATCAGATGGCACAGAGACAGTTGATCATTCGTGCGTCAAGTTGTTTGTTGAGAAAATTGGTGAGATTAACCAGAAGTTGGAAAATGAGTATTGGCCCAAGGAAGGTGCCATCAAGGAGGGGGGTGAATGGATTGTTGGGCAAGAGGGACTAGTCATTCGGAGAGGCCGTGTCTGGTATGGAGGCGGGGAGTATGTGCCGCTCGACTAGATATTCACCTGAGCAAATCATGGTCTATTCTCCTAGTTCTAGACTGGGTTTATATGCCGGTTAATGCTACCGAATACCTTCTCAAACTTATTCCTCGTTCTAAAGGGCTTAAACTTTATCGATGATAGTAGCCAGCTGTAGGACCGGAATTTATGGCTTAGGGCTTAGGGCCATTTTAAGGACAGCCGGACATGGCCCCGGGATATTGATCGTGGTGTTGCAATGCAGAATAAGGGACGACAGAGCATGGTATTAGCTACTAATCAGATATCAATGAATGAACAATAGTATGTAGCAATGGCCATTTCTATAGTTTCGGTGAAACGGTAGATATGGCGCCTCTTGGCCTCATACAAGGATCATGGTTTTTGTAGTGGTCTGGTGGTAGAATACTCTGTATCTTTTCCCTCAGTTTCCCTCACCAACAAATCTTCTGTCGGAGTAATCCGTATTGTGAAACGTCTGGGTCCAATTAACGGCATTCAACTCTCTGTATTTCTGTATCCACCATTCTGGCAATTTAGTTATACTATCCTCATTACATAAGAAATATTACTGCATAACTATTTAAGATTAATAAATCCTCCGGTATGCCGGCGAAACTGCGCCGGCATCTTCCTGGAGCCCGAGGCACTAAGCGCATCCACATATATATCACGTGACAGCGCAATTATTGAACGATGGAGCAAAAGAAACAATGCAAAGGTTATTTAGCATAAAATACTATATCGAATGATTTATACTAATCATTAATTCCGACTGCATCTACTGACATTGAATAAATAACTACTGGTGAGCTTCAACCCACATTTAGGCTTGGGCCCATTTTTGTGCTCGCTTATAGCGCACATTTCGGCAAAACTATACAACAACAAGGCCGGCTGGCCCAATGGCAAGGCGCTTGACTACGAATCAAGAGATTGCAGGTTCGATCCCTGCGTCGGTCACTATCTTTTTGCTAACACTTTTTGTGTTCCACACTAGAGAATCTTTTTGCTATGGTGATATTGAGTAAGTTTAGTGGTGGCACATTGAAATTTCATATGCAGCATGATAGGTTTGCTGCATATAATAACTACACTTCGTCTTATCTAGAGGGCTTCGGAAATTGAGTCGGTCTTTTTGTAACATGGTATTTCTGGGATTTATTGGGCTAGGCACGCGAAAGGATTGCCTGGATGGAATTTAACGAAGTGTTAGTCACTATATTCAGTGGAAGTATGTTATTCCATTTGACCTGAGTGCACCTCTTGAGATAACAAAAAGAAAAAGAGAGATTGAGTTGTAGCTAGCCTAGAATGAAGTGGGTATCGCAAAATATATATTTCAGAGCTACATACATAATAGCTGATGTGCATCTCGTTGGACAGGTCATTTTTTTTTTTTTCAGAGCATCCATCCAACCAAGCGCTCGAAGCAGTGATCATTCTCCGCCAAATTACCTCTCTCGCCAAGCTTCTTGCGCTCATTTAGAATCGGGGGAGAATTTTCTTCCTCTATTTCTTCCATTGCTCTCAATGCTTTTTGGTAGGCACTTAATGCAGATTCTGGTTGTGCCAAATCTAAAGCAATGTGGCCTAGAAGCCGACAAGCATGTGCGTAAGATCTAGTGGAATGACTGAGCTCGAGTGAAAAATCATATCAACGAAATAGCGTGCAGGAACTAGTTGGTTGTTCGTGCTCCCAAAGGTATCCAAAGCAAGTCAGAGCCCCCCAAAAATATCTCGATCGGATAATTTGCTAGGGGAAATTCAATTCACGTTCCAGTACGGAATATCAACTCCGCAAAGTGCTTCATGTTAGTGGGCTTGAGTGAATACGTCCCGACTAGTTTTATAAGCTTGATAACATGCGACAAGGGTGTGCTGCAGCTTTGCCATGATTTCCATCCGTGACCTTGCCCACTTGTGCTTTCAATCCACAAGTTTGGGAAACTGGAAGACACCAGTTGAATTGCACAATCTAAATACGTTGATATATCTGCTTTAAGCAAAACCGAGAGTATATTAGACTGAATGGGTCGGTCTAATGTGATTACTTCTAGTTAGGGTGATCGAACAATGAGCGATACATTTGTTAGACCTATGACAGCACTAATCCTGTTCATTAAAAGCGAAAAATCATATCTTGTAAGATAAAGTAATCTATCGAAAACCACCCGACAAGAATTTCAAGCTTGGACCGGTGATATTGGCCTTCGGGCTGAAGAGCACCTCGGTAGCTGTTCTGGTACTGCGTCGGGATCAAGAAGGCAGGTATATTCAGTGGTAGTTTCCCGTCAATGGACAGAGATCGCAACGAAAAGGCCCACTCCGTGCTTGGTGTATGTTCTTTGTGCAAGGGCATAGCTGATACAGGGAAAATATCTTCGGCTGATCTTTTATGGACAAGCTGAACATCATAAAGATAGCCACGGCAATTTACAAATCCGCCGATTTGGACCAAGACAAGGCGAAACCGTTCCGACTCTCCCTCGTAGAAGGGGTTGTGTTTGATAATTTTTAATCCTGTTTGACAGAAACCTGACCGTATCGAAATGTATGGTATAAACTCAGTATATTGAAAACCCTCTAACTAGCCAATAAACAGAAGAAACGCGCGAACATCATTCGTGTCTGGTAGAGAATGAGACACCCTAACTAGAAATACTTTGATCATGTGATCTGACTTGTGATCTCACCCCCTAACAGATAATGTGTTTGACCCCCTTCCAAGCTTATATACAGAAGAAGCATTCAACATGTCTATTACCCACATTGTCCTTTTTCAGTTCAAAGCAGACCTGGCTGCTGAAGTCATTCAAGCTGTAAGTATAAAAGATCACGACTCGTCATATGTATGAACGTGATTACGAGCGAACTATTCTCAATAAATGTCAACAATTACCTCAAATAGGTCTGTGAGTGTATGCTGTCACTAAAAGACAATTGCGTCGATCCCACCTCACAAAAGCCCTATATCAAATCCGCGTCTGGCGGGAAGGATAACTCTCCCGAAGGCATCCAGGTAAGTTTCCTGGGATCACAGAGGATAGAAGACTTTCAGGGTATTTTACTGAATGTGTGATAGAATGGAATTACACACGCATTTGTCATGGAGTTTACGAGCGCTGCAGATCGAGACTACTATGTACAAAGGGATCCAACTCATCTAGGATTCGTCAAGACTCTTGATGGCCTCATTGAGAAAGCACAAGTCATTGACTTCAGCGATAGAGTTCTTTGAAATTCTGAGCCAATGCTCTAAGTGTCTACTTTGATAAGATATGGAGTGTTGACGCTTGTAGATACTATGAAAGAATGGACTCTGGGTTATGGTCATTCGTGATATATATACACCACTAAGTTTTTCATCAGCCCACGATTTTTCTAGTCAAAAAATATATATCAATAACTACAGTTTTCTAAATGATCATGTATCCTGTATCGATCCAAAGGTTGGTGTTTATGCAAATCTGCATTTCAGGATTATGAATATACTCATTAACTTCTTATTTTCCCATAGCACAGATAAGTTTCGAGATTCTTTGTATAGTCCTTAGAGTGTCACGCGCTTAATATACAAACATCCAACAAGAATAGACTCAGCACACGGAAATACATTCCCGGGCAAGATAGCAATGCTCCAATTTGCCAGCGAGTTTAATAGCTGGGAATGTAAGCCAAGCTTCAGGTTCGGGCACCAATAGTATACAGTGTTTGGGTCCTTTGACTGGAAACCACCGACCTAGAAGAACGTTGCATTGCGACCTGCACGCATGCCACTCCCAAGCTTGGTACTCTTTCATGGGTTTAACCCTTCCTAGAATAGTATTCAGTAAACGATTAAATTGAGTTCTCGTAAATATAAGCTATTCATAGTTTCACTCGGAGCTAAGTCAAGGTTCGAAGTTTCTCTATCCCTGCGGTTCCCAATTCAAGTCAGGGCTCGACTCCGTTTGCCTAGATGAGACACCAACAACAACAATTATACCTGACATGGATTCTTATCTCCTCTATGATACATTGACAATATTAGAACACGTACTGCGTAAGACTTGCGCCAAGGTAAATTAAACGTATCTCTATGGGCTGTTATTTGACATAGCATTGCTCTGATGCAAGGGGGGCGCGAAATAATAAGCGCCAACCATTCCAGAGACTCGCAGCCACCCGCAAGGTTCTTTCGTTTCGATTGATTCATGGCATTTCTGGAATATTTTAGCGGTGTATTGTAGTGAAACAAAGAAAATACGAAACAACGGAAATCGAGTCGAGAAACCTGCTTCAGTTCGGAATTGCCAATGTGGCTGGAATCATGAAAGGACTTATATTTGCCTTGATTATTGTCTCTGGGGTTGTGTATACAATTGATCTCCAAGATCGGGTCTATCAAATACACTAGGCTCGGAACCATTACTCCGGATCTCAGCACATAGCTAACCCTGAATGTTGAGGTAATCTACGGGATCATCCCTGTCAGTGACAAATTCATGATCGATCGATACGGCTACTCCGTATTGGTGCTCGGCGATGAATCCTTGAAAGAAATGTCTAAAATTGCCTGCCGAGAATTGGGTCTCATAACCACGGCTTCCGAGACAAAGACAAAGGAAACGAGGCAAAGAGATATTCCAATTAAGCTAGTGATCTTGCATGAAAAGGAAGAAAAATCGATTCCCCCCGGAGCTAGGGACAAAGAATCCCGTTTCCCGCGAGCTTTCAAGACCTCCACAGGGTTCATTCATGCACATATCCGATCCGTCAAACGGGGACTTAAGGGATCGACGGCTGGTTATTATTGAAATGTCTTGTACTAGGGGAAACGGGATACAAAACTTTAAAACGAGATGGGTCTTTAATCCAAAAGTGGAAAAGGGGACACGAAGAATGAGAGGGATACGTTTCGCCAGAACACGAGGTTCTCTTTGCTGCTTCTCCCATTTACCCCTTTGGTCTAGGCTGTTTTCCACTCGATCCACCGAGGATCGAATACCTACTCTGCACGGGTCTCTAACTCCAGCATATATTCCCTGCAGCCTGCGGGTCATGGCTGCCGTACTGTCCATCCGCTGTATTGCACCCGATGAGTTGCAGCAGATCGTGGGTATATTACCTGCATATAGAGAGATACCGGTAGAAACGATTGCCCCGGGTGATAAACACTTCAATTCCCAGTAAGAGCCGGAATAGGTCAAAGGGAATCCCAAGCATTCGGGACTCTCTGCCCAAAGCCAATCCCATACGGCCCAGGCCTCCAGGGAGGACCCACTGCTGCCGCCAGGGGAGTGAACGCCGAATTGGTGTCTGCCGAGCCTGTCATCCTGTCCATGCCACAGGTACGGCTGTCGCCTAGCCGGGGTGAGACTGTGGATCGCTTTGCCCTTGACACGCCAGACATAGTATAGATGTGCATACTGCAGCCGGTCACTTTGCTAATATATGTACTCTCGCCCCGCCTGTCTTTTGGCTCTTTCTCTACACACACCTCAATGGTGTAGAGCAGCTACATCGTTTTTCTTCTTTTGTTCCTTTTGCTTTTGGGTGTCATCCCCTGTCCCTCGTTTCCCTTTGTCACTCGTTGTATAGTATTTGTTTCACCTCCAAGCGTTGTCTTTATTCTTTTGACTTCCTTGTTCGCATTCAAGGACATTCTAGCTGGAACCGCCATTGTTCCAAGCTCCCGAACTGCCTAGCGTTCTATAAAGCTCCTTATCCGCCGGTCGTATCAATCGAAACACCATCAGTCCAACATGGAATGCTTTCGGCAAATTTTCCGGTGCCTGAAGGCACCTTTCAGACGCGACAAGGGAATGATTATTGAAATTGTAAGTCGAGCCGGGACATGGGTTGTCGTTGCAAAGACGGTCGCTAACAATGTATGAAATAGGGTCCTCCCACTAACTTCCGAAAAGAAGAATTGCCTGCTTATTTCTCTGATGCCGAGTCAGTTCTCTCGCCTAGCCAAAATCCGACAGAACGATCAGATCTGACCAGTCAATCACAGCACGCTTACGTCCCAGGACAGCCACACGGCGACCGTGAAGAAGGACGGAACGACGGTCGAAATGGTGTCTCTACCATCATCGACGAAGAGCAAGATGCGGGCCCAGGTTCGAAGGATGAGCGTGAAACTGTCATCCGGCTCCGAGAGCGTATGAAGTTATCCCGGTGGTGGAAATCGAGCCAAGCTGCAGGTCATGAAACCAAGGCCCCGGCTGAATCGATAAAGATGGAGGAAATTCGAAACGCCAAATTGGCGTGTTAATAGGGAAATTGGTACACGGATGGTCACAACAAGAAGGTGGGCACTTCATTGTGCCGGGACTTTTTTGGATCTAAATTGTTCTCGCCACCTGTCACAGGCAGTTGTTTTGCAGGAGGTCCCCAAGAATTATTAGAAATAGACTTTTTCATCCGAGATGACTCTGGTAGCTCATCAAGGTCATCAAAAAGAGACTGAACCCGCGATTTATACGCGTTCGCTGGACTGGGTCGCTCATGTGCCAGCTTCATTTTCGATTTCGACGTAGATGTACTTTGTAAGTTAAGTTGCTGCCGGGCTCGTGGGGTTGTTTGATCCTCAACTTGGCTTTTTCGTGGAGTGGCATTTGTTCTTTTGGCCGGTGGCAGCACGACTGGCTGGGTTTCTAAGTCAAGATCGTCACCGTCATCGCCATCCGAATCCGAGGCCGTTTCTTCATCTAATTCAATGCTTGGAACCCCTGGTGCTCTTGATGATGATGCAGACACCCCCCCGATACTGTACACCCGGGCTCGTCCAGTACCTGAAGTAGGCGCCTGTAAGCCCGCAGCAGCTCTGGTAGAGGACTTAGGCCCGCGGACTCCCGCTAAGGATCGTGTTTTTCGTGGGCTCGTCATGAGATCGTGAAGATGTGTTCCAGCCCATCTCTCATCATCTTCATCTTCGTCTTTCTCGTCGACTCCCCCGTCACCTATCTGCGCGAGTCCAGCTTTTTGTCGCTCCCTCAGCGCCTCGGCTTCCCTTTTCCGTTGAAATTCATTTGGAACTGGGGTACGGCTGTCTGTAGGCCTCTCAATTTCCCTCATTCTGGCTGCATTTTCGGCTTTCACTTCCTTTCTCCGTCGCAGGTACTCCGCATGATGCAGATGTTGAGTAAATGTTTGCGCGACAGCGTAGAACTCGTCTTCGACCATGACCCAGCCATCATCGTGTTGAATTCCTTCAATCAAAAATCTATAATGTGCCTATTAGCGACTTCTCCAGGTTGCGCGGGACCTGGTTGCAACCATACTCTTCGGATGGACAGCGTCTGATAGGGGAGGTCGGCGGGCTTTGGGCTGTAGAAAGTAATCAGACTTTATATTTGCTCACAAATATTCCAAAAATAAAACCTACAGGACCTGAAGAAATCGCGTCTTGGGGGAGAAACTCGAGTGTTTTTGGGAGTGAGGTCGCGATCAAGACTGGTTTCCGTTTTCACGCGTTTCCGCGGTTTTGACTCTTTTTTCGCAGGGATGGTCTTATCGGCATGAAGCCAGGGCAGTGTCCTGGGCATAATTCACGATAATATAGAGGAAATCAATACGTCGCTTGGTGTTGCGATCTCAGGGAAAGATTACAGTGAAGGAAAGAGAGTTGCTGATAGGCATCCATGGCCGATAAGGTGAGGTCACCCGCATTCCGCGCAACACAAACTTTCAATCTGGAGCTTCACTACGAAGTGGAAAATTTGAGAGCATCAACCTCATTCTTTGGGGTATCTAATGCCATTTTGGACATTGGTAATGCAATATGAAAAAGAACTGGGACCGCCTCAAACGCCTCGTGCAGGATATATTACCGAAAGCAAGAACGGACTGCCGGTAGAACGCCCATTCAACCATTCGAGGGAAACCAAAAAAACGCCAGTATCTCTGCCCATGCAAGAGTTGGATTACGCCTCGCCAGGCCGCTTGCTATTGCAGCTCACGATCTTCACCTTGTCCGCGGACACAGTGGTCTGGTTGTCCAGCTTGAACGAGACATCCTTGATCAGGAAGGTCCAGACTTCGTCACAGAATCGGTAGGTATCGAGATGGCCCTAAAAGCGGTGGGAAAATGTACATGTTAGTCTCGTTGAACTATGATCGAACCATGGCCCATTTGGTGTTCTCTGAACCAGAATGAGTTACCTTGAAGGTCAGTCTGGCCCGAACTTTGTCGGCCAAGACTTCGGTGACAATCTTGTCAAAGGTCCCGAGGATCTTCATCGCCAGTTGTGGCTCGATACGGCCTTCGTTGATCAGGTCATCGAGAGTATCGGTGAGTGATAGCCCGAGGCTAAAGGTTCCTTGAGTCAGCTTTGGAGCTTTCGGTTTGCTTCATCTCATCGGGTATATATACCTGCTGCCACGGTAAAGCTCATAGTACGCCACGGATGCCATTCTGAGATGAAATAATAATGGCAGACTCGTCGAAAGAGTATCGGAGGAGTGAGTGACAGGAGCAAGTTCATGATCGCCGGCCGAATCGCGGGGGCGGTCGGCTGCACGTGATCTTCTCATGGTCACGTGAAACTCTTATCTCGAATTGCGTCAGTGTCAGATGAATTGAACGTGTTTATACAAGTTCTTTGACCTCACATATTTCTTAGTGGGCATACTACAAGCTCGATAACTATTGCAGTATGATTTTGAAGGGTTTAGGGCCTCGATACCTTCCAAATAGAACATTGTCTAGTCAATTCCATGTTACCTGTGCCCGATCCTTATCGACAACCTTGTTCAGATCATCCAAAGCTCAAGGTCAGTCAGTTCCTTTCAACCCCATGCCAGAACTAATATATATTAATTTGGAACTATAGACCCCCAATGTTACCAAAATTCTGAATCCAAGCAAGAGGAAAGCAACCAAACATCCAAGAACTCCTCGAACCAAGCCAACGAGCACCACACACTCCAACCGAAGGTTAAAACCGTCTCCCAAGCCGATGCCGAGCTTCGTGAGCGGCTCGAACAAATGTCTGGAGGAGGAGGTGCCTCTGGAATTGAATACGAAGACGGCAAACCGAATGCAATGAAGCGCGGCGTGCGAAACAACATGTTCCGATTAATTTGAAGCAATTCTCGACATCAACATATCACAAGAACAAAGCTAGATTGTGTCAAATGTCGCGGATATATATCCAAGCGAGGTCTCATGACCTGCAATGCAGGCTTGGCTCCAGATGCCAAGAACACGTGGGGAAAGAATGCTCTCGGTCGTCGTTCTCTTTCGGCACCGGGAGTCCCGAGAATTACAGGCATCCATCATAACTAGACTTCCTGAACTTTGTTTCTGATGACATAGAGGATGAGGATACCCAGGCTTGGCTTCGGTTGAGTTTGCCTAATTAGTGTGCTTAGATGCATATGAAGTTTCTTTGAAACCGGATAAACGGCTATGCATAACGAATGCATTTCACTCTTCGGGTGTTCCTGCATTCTCCGATTACGATTCGTTGGGCGGAGCCGCGCAATCGGCCACGACGCTCTCGCAGTGAAATTCTTGGCTTTAGGTAGTTAGGATATTCTTGGGAATGTGCCATCGGAAAGCTCTCGTTTCGTGGCTGGGGCGACTTGGTTGCAATGTGCAGGGTCCTGGACCAGAGCGAGTGTGGCACGTGCATGTCTTGTCAATGCTGGGGGGAGTGCCTCATATTCTTTCTAGGTTTCAATGCTGTGCTTTGATCGGCGGTGAAATCTCTCCTAGAGAGTTGAATCTCGACAGCAAAAATGAGGACCATAAACATAGCAAGCCATATGACGGGGGACGATAAATAGACTGGCCCAAATCCAACGAAGGCGTAGATCAGCGAAATTACCACCGTCCAAAATAGGACCACAGTGGCAGAAATCAAATCTCATTTCTATGTCGTGAGCCCCAACTCGAATTAAAAAATAAATAAACAAACATTATCCCATTAACACCTAATTTCGAACCATTTTCGCATTGCTGGATTCCACCCAAAGAATAAGAAAAAATCATAGGAGAAAGAAATGCTTGCTAATGTTTCAAAGAACATCTCATTTCCGCACAACCATGCCAGCCAAAACACCAGCGCCAATTACGCCACCATCGGAGGCTTCCCGTAAGAAAACGGACTTCCCACCTCGTTGCGGACCAGTCCGCATGATAAGACGATCAATGTATTGCTGGCACATCTCCTTGAATTGCGGGTAATGTTGGATAATGCCACCGGTGTAAGCCACGACGAGCTCTTCAGGACCGGACTGCCAATCTATTGGCGTAGGATCGATGACAGGGACGACATGTTCCTGAGCTGCGTGGTTGGCAGCGACAGCGGCAGAGTTGAGGCTTGCAGCCGCAGCGTCCGGTGCACCAAAGAACTCAGTGACGGCATCGCCGTTGGTCTGGGGTGAAGCGGGATTCTCGGGTGAGCTGCTGTTGCTGTCTTCCTTTAGTTCGATCTCCCGAGCACAAGATAGGAGTCCGACTACTGCAGCGGCGATCAGCCCAGCTGACCGTCTCTGTACTGTGCGAGCAATCTTTCGGAATGCACCCGCGGTTCGGGCATCCCAGCGCCAGTCACTGCTCTCCGGTGGAGGGAGGGATGTGTTCAAGTCATTGGCGAGGTCCTTGTCAGATCGGGATTTGGCGACGTGATCGGAGATGTATGTGGTTGTCAGGGCGTATTCTTGGATGAGGTTTGCAGGTAGGGAGCGTTTCGATAATTTGGCGACAGTTGTGAGATAGTCGAATAGGATCAAGCGAATCAGTTCACCAATGTAGCGGCCTCCGGTCATGTATTCGAAGGGCTGGAAGCCTGGGCGTGCACAGGCTCGGTCTAGCTCGATATCCCATTTTGTGGTCACGTTGAGCTCTTTGAGCGGTGGCGCAGCACCCGAAATAGTCCACTCGGTGTTGACAATAGTCTCCACAGCGCTGGGTTCCATAATGTTGACACTCTTGGCTTTAGATTCGTGCAATGCACTGAGCTTCATTGGGATGGTTGCGTTACAACCAGTACCCACAATAATACCCATGGCGACTCTACTGTTTGGTAGAGACTTGACCTTGTATGCTAGGGAAGCCAGCGTAGCCACCGTGTCGTTGGTGATAGCTTGGATTTTCAGTTTTGGTAATGCGAAAAGCTTTCGACGTTTGGTAGAAGGTTCATCTTCATCATCAGGTCGCCTTGTGTGTTTGTCATATCCATTCAGAAGGATCTGACCAAGATTGAGATCTGATGAAATAGCGAATCCTTTTCCCATGGGCATTAATGTGGCTTCCGCCAATGATTCTTGCCTGGGCTTAGTTAGCACAAAACTAAAACAGGAGCCCCCGGAATCTGGAAACACCAGAAACACAAGCACAAGGGGAATCTAACTCACATGATGGGGAAACTGAATGTAATTCCCATATCTAATTCGGCCGGAATATCCTTCTTAGTGGCATCCGATGATAGACTCTCCGCTATCACCTCCGCAATGCAATCACCGATCCAAGAAAATAGATCTTCGGCCTTGTCCTTCTTAAAATGCTCTTGAATAGGCCAAGCTCGTTCCAGCGTTCGTTTCACCCGCTGGCGCTGAGCTTTCCGGATGGTGTCCCGTGACCTCTCCGTGGCATCTGTAGGTCGAATATCGGAATCCACGGCTTCTCCAAGTAACTCGATAAAAGCGACTCGAAGGTTACTACCTCCTACGTCGATCGCTAGATAGCGACCGGTTTCCCGACCAGTAGGAAGTTGAGTCACGGGTGTTGGCAAAAATTGCTGGTCCGATGTCAAGGCAAGGTTGCGGTATGTGGTGGAAAAGCGTCGGGCCAGTTTGTATAGCACAGCCTCATCCAGGGACAACGGTGACAAGAAGTTTTCCAATTGTTGATGGTGCGCCAGAAATTCTTGTTGAATGGCGTTCAATTCCAAACTGACATCCTCATGTTCCTCATCTTCAATCAAACCGTCGTGTATGATGTCGCGCTCGCCCTTGCACAATGAGTTGACCAAGGCCATGATGGAAGATAGAAGTTATATTCCAAATTAAAAATAAAAGAAATCACCCCAAAGGCCGTTTGAAGATACCCGACAAAACGACCTGACACGCTATGTTCAATGACGTGTAGGGTCTGGAATGTTTAGGAATAGAGATAGGACATATCCTTAAAGTCCTTTGAATTGTGGAGCAAAGCCGAGGGAGCTAATCCAATGCCCCAAGAGCTAGTCTTGACACTTGTGTTAGCGAGGTTGCAATAAAAGGAAAAGGGAACATTTCGGTGACGCGGTCTGCAGGTCGACCCGGGCTGCGGGGGAAAAAAGAGAAAACACGACGATCATGCCAGAAGGGGGTGACCAAATCCCCATAAGTGTTTTACGTACCCTGGAATTTTGGGATGCACTGATTGTCCTGATTACCCTGATCACCTCGAAAATAATATTTTTGAGTTGATTCAAGGAGATGACAAACTATATACGGGGTTCTTTGGGTTAGGGAAACACCCCTAGATGCCCTGAGGGAGTTGGCGAAGAATGGAAGTATAAAGCTCCCTACTTTAAGACAGGCATAGAAGAGAAAA